TCGACTATTGGAAGGCAACTGCAATTTTGTGGTCGTTCCTACTGAGGATGGTCTATGCAGAGCCGTAACTGGGGGTGGTTTGGGGTGTCTAGCCAGGGTGAAGCTGCCAGAGGGATGCCATTGAGGCTCCCAGCCTCCCAGCATGTCTGGGCTTCAGCCAGAGAGGAAGATGAAAAAGTGATGGCAGCCTTCCTTCCCCTTTACCCATGAAGCTGAATAATAATAAATAATAATAATAATAATAATAATAATAATAATAATTTATTATTTATACCCCACCCCTCTGGCTGAGTTTCCCCAGCCACTCTGGGTGGCTTCCAATCAAGTGTTAAAAACAATACAGAATTAAATATAAAAAACTTCCTTAAACAGGGCTGCCTTCAGATGTCTTTTACAGAGAAGATAGCTGCTTATTTCCTTCACATCTGAAGGGAGGGTGTTCCACAGGGCAGGCGCCACTACCGAGAAGGCCCTTTGTCTGGTTCCCTGTAACCTCACTTCTCGCAATGAGGGAACCACCAGAAGGCCCTCGGCGCTGGATCTCAGTGTCCGGGCTGAAGGATGGGGGTAGAGACGCTCCTTCAGGTATACAGGACCAAGGCCGTTTAGGGCTTTAAAGGTCAGCACCAACACTCTGAATTGTGCTTGGAAACGTAGAAGGCTCATTTACAACACACTGCAGAGAAAGGGAGAGTTGGAAAATCTGAAGAGGCTGTGTGGATGTCCCCAGTGAAGCAGAAGATAGGATCCCCTGTGGGTTTGCTCAGGTTTGAGAAAGAAATTCTGGAGGGAGGGAGGGAGGGAGGGAGGGAGGGGCAGGAAGCTGAGGAAGAGAATCAGATGGACTAGATGAACCTTGGGGTCCCTTCCAGCTCTACATTTATATAATTTTATGATCTCTTCCGAACTTTGAATGTGTTGAGTCATTTTACAGTTGAGTCATTTTACAGACTATACATGATCTACACACAGGAAAATAAGGGGTGTGTGAGCATTTTCCCTGCCAGAGCCAGTTCCCTGGCAAGCTCTGGTATCTTCCTTACTTTTACAAACACTTCTAGCAAAAAAGCCATTATGGCTCCATACTTCTAGCGCGGCCTCAAACTATAGTAAGAACTACTAAAATAGCCAAAGCATTTTCATAGTTCCAGAATCAGACTTTCAGCTGTATTTATGTGCTGAACAATCCACTCAATACTAAAAATACAGATCCAAGTAGCCTTAGGTGTGTTATCAACCCTTTGGCAAAACAATATTTTAAAATTTTAAATATTAATATTTTAAATATTAAGTATTAATATTTTAAAACCCTTTAACAACCCATTGTACATTATGACTGCAAGTATTTACGTAGATACAGTATCACTGTCCATATAAGCACTGGGAGAGTGAGAAGATGAGTTTTAAAAAATCTCCCTAAACCTGAGCTAAATGCTTTCCAGTTTGAGATGGGCCCAAGAAGGATCACAGAAATCAAGCTTTCCCAGGGGAAATTCTATTTGGGGGATAATGATCCGTGTTAGGTTTTAACCAAGTACTTTTCAAAAATTTATCCCAAAAGTTTTATTCTTAAAAAAACAACCCTGCAACTCATTACAAAACTGAAAAATGCAACATTGCTTTAATGCTTGCGAGAGAAAGAACTTCTCCATGGTTAAGTTGACAATGACAAAGGAGGCACAGCTAGGTAAATCAATTCCACTGATTTGTTTTACTGGGTTAAAAAGAGGGCACTTTGGTATCACAATATAGAGATAATTCAAGATGCAGAGACATACAATTACAGAAACTTTCCTCATATCAGAATGTGTTTTCCAATGAAACAGTGAGGCATGAAACAAATGTAGTTTTGCTGCTTGACATGACAAAAGGAAGACAATTTCAGCTCCAATGGTTCTCTCTATTATTACAGGTATGGGAAGCCTCTGGCCGTCCAAATGTTGCTGAACTACAACACCCATTGGTCCCAGTAAGCACAGCCAATGGTCAATAATGATGGGAGCTGCAGAGGTCAGCAACATCTGCAGAGCCGAAGGTTGCCAACACCTGCTCTACTTGAGAAGGTTTTCGTTTGTTATGTCTAAACAGTTGCATGTAATAGCAAAATAACGACTGAAAAAGGAAGGAAAAACATATTTCCCTATATACAAGCTCTGTTCCCAGCCTATTGAAGTCACCAAGAAAGGCCCAGCTCCAAAAACTTTGAAACAGCCTATCAGAAGAGAACCAACAGTACTCCTCCCTACTGGCATTTCAAAAGGTCAGGATGACCTGTGAAAATTTACACTACATCAAGCATATGCAGCCAAACCGGGAACCATGGCATTCCAGAGTGTTCCAGACTCTCTGATTCATGCATTAATTCACACACACCCATATTTCTGAAATTTTAACAACAACCAGCAACTGTGAAACTTTCACTCTGCCTGTCCAAATGCACCTATTTGATGTTTCTGGAGACATGGCTTCCTTTTCTTAGTCACATAGATAGCAAAAAGGTTTTGAAATCCATCTATATTATGCAATCAGTTCTGGTGGTCTTACAGTAAGCATGTCAACATCTTAGGTATAAGGTTCCGAATGTGTTTAGAGAAGTCACACTCTCTTACACTGTGTTGTGATGATGAGTATTCAGGGAAACAATATTATGCAATTCTGATGTTGTTCCCAGAAGTTACACAGAATCTATTCTCAAATTCTCGGATTGTCAAGAATTTGTAGATGAAAATGGAACATTGTAAATTCTTTGTTTTTTAAATCTTCTGTTGTCCATTTCATTCAGCCTCACGGTCCAAGTTTCTGGCCCCATATTTATCGAGAATTGCTGACGGACCTCAGGAAGCCCAAATAATATACTTATTAAACGACAAAGATACAAGTAGATCCCTTGCAGTCGCTAGATACCTGATTAATGTTTTATTTCAAAAGAGGAGAAATGGATCACTGTATGACTCTGACAGCTTAGCTAAACTTAAGAACCATCAATAAGTGCCAGAACTAAGACGCATACCCCCCAAAATCTGATGGATTTGAATTGTGGTTTACATAGAGGGAGCTTATTGTGTATAGTGTTTACTTAACTGAAGTAAAATTGGTTTTATATGGGTGTTTTAACTTGGAACTGTTTAAATTGTATTGTTTTTGGATAAATTTTGATGTATTGTCTTCGATATGGGCCAATGGCCGCAATAAATCTATACTATACTATACTATTTGTTTTTTAAAAAAATAAGTCCTCCATCTCCCATCATGAACAAATGAACAACACACAGATAATCTGCAGGGTGCCCAACTGCGTATCCATAAGTTCTGTGGATACAGTAACTGCTGCAAGTTTTGCTTTGAATTCTAAGGAAGTCCCTGAGGTAAGAGAAGTAAGTCATTTATTAATTTCCCAAGGTTTGGGTAAAGACGATTGGCAATGACCTTAACCCACACTGCACATGTTTTAGAGATTCTGCCAAGCAGGAAGTGTTATCTTACATATTCCCAGCTATTTTGTGGCTAGTCAAAAGGCTGGCAGGGAAAATAGTATGTACCTACTGGGTACTGGCAGGGCAGTAGATAAAGATGTATTGCTGCATTAGAAAAGGTATGTGACGAGGAAGGATTAGCTCGTATCTTCAGGTGCACACCTTACACCCTTTCTGAGTTTCCAAGATGCTCAAAGCCCCACAAACCTCTGTGTTGACAATGTCACAAAGCATTGCCACACCTAGGCTACAATTACATTTCAACTTTCACTATTATACAATTTTTAAACTCTCTAGAATTATTTCCCACAAAGCTGTTTTCTTACTGATGCCTGACCCATCAAATGGAAGTCAGAAACCAATACAAAATAAGTGGCTTAAGTTGTTCCAGAGAAAAGGAAAGCTAATTTGAAGCTCTTGAGCAGAAATCTGAGCCACAAGGCACCAGGATTGAGAAAACCATGTGGGGTATGAACTTTTCTAACTCCTGGATGAAAATCTCGATTTCTCACAGTTGCAGAGGCCCTTAACATTCTCCACAAAGCAATGCACAGAAGATACAATACGTGTCCCGAATTCGACTATTCCCAGTATTTGCTCTCACCCCTGCCCTGGCTTCAGCTGGGAAGCATCCTGGGGCTGTAACTGCCAGCCCTCAAGAGCATACCTCATTCTAATAAACCCCATGGCTGCTTCAGGTCAATGTTAACAAAAACCCAGTTTTTTCCCCTGAATGGGCAAGGCAGCTGGAACCCACCTAAACAGAATTCATTTCCCACATAACTTGAGAAGTCAAAGTAACCCTTTACCCAACACCCCACAGCCTATTTCCCCAATACACATGCCTTCCAAACACCGAAACACAACTGGGCCTATGTCACAGACCCTTCTGACCCCTAGAAATCATTTCACCATTGGGCTGTCACACAGCCCAGGCACGACAACACAGCAGTTTGTAAGAACTGAACAGATTCCTGTTCTCCTTCACAAACTGCAACAGTTGGGAGGGGGGCGCCTCCCAACAGAATATTGGGATCCCCAATTGCACAGTGCCAGGAAGCACAAGCTTAGTGGGGGGGGTGTTTCTTTTTTTAGAAAGTGACACACTTCCTCCCACTTTCTACACTTCACATACAGTTTGCAAAACCACCAGGCAGTGCAGAAAGCGCCACAACGCACTTTCCACCCAGGTGTTGAGAAGGGGCCCCTTATTGTCGAATTCCTTCTCATTCCTTCTCAAGGCTGCCCAGCGTTGGCAGAAACACCCACTCCTGGAAATGGCCCCCATTACACTGCGCTTTCTCCCCGTCGGGAAATCCCTAATCCGCTTCCCACATAAGGAAGGGAGCTCAGGAACGCGACCGGGCCTGTTTCTCCCCTTGTGAGCCAAAGCAACACAGGTCGGGGTTGTGGCGCAGCGCCCCCGAGCATATTGACAAGGTGTTTGCCCTTGCTGCTTCCGAAGGCGACAGGGAAGCTTTCTTCTGTGGGGAGGAGTCGGGCGTGTGCGCCACGGCGAGCACTCACCGAGGTCCAGGGCCTGGTTGTACTTCTCCAGGGCGGGCGCCAGCTCCTGCCTCTCCTTCAGCGCGTCCCCTTCGGCGCCCAGCCGGCGCGCTTTGCTCTCGACCGGGAACCACTTCTCCAGCAGGCTGCCCAGGACCACGTTGACGCGGGGACCGGCGGGGGGCTGCGCGGCCGGGGCAGAGGCAGAGGCTGGGCGCCGGGCGGCGCAGCGGGCGCACTCGCCTCCGCCGCTCTGGGCGCAGCGCTTGCAGTGGGTGTGCCCGCAGTGCAGAGTCACCGGCTCGCAGAGCAGGCGGCGGCACACCGGGCAGCCCAGCGGCTCCGGGGGTCGGCAGCAAGGCGGGTCCGCCAGCGGGTCGTCTCCCTCTGGAGCTGCCGCGCCGCCGCCGCCGCCAGGCCCCCGCCACGGCGGCAGGCGCAGCTCTTTGTCGCGGAGGCTGAGCGCGAAGCTCTCGGTCAGTTCGCGCAGCTCCTCGGGCCTCAGGCGAGCCAGCCTGGCGGCGGCGCTGTAAGCATCCAGAGCCTCGGCCATGCGCCCCGCGCGGGCCAGCGCGTCCCCTTGGCGGAGGCAAAGGCCCCGCTCGGGCTGCGCCAGCTCGGCCAGCTGCGAGCTCAGGATCTCCGCCGCCAGGGCGAACTGCCCGCCTCGGAAAGCCTCCTCGGCCACTTGCAACATCTCCGCGCAGGGACCGCCGCCGCCGCCGCCGCCTCCTCCTGCCGCCGACGGGGCCTGGTGGTGGTGGGCGCGCTGCTGCGCCTGCTGCCCGAGCGCGGCCCCCAGCTCCATTTTCGCCGGGTTGGCTGACTGGGTGGGTGTGGTGGTGGCGGCGAGCGCTCCTGCTATGGCTTCATCGTCGAGCTCAGCGCCTCCGCGAGGAGCAGGAAAGCGGGGAGGCGGCCCCTCGCAGCCGCCGCGCCTCGCTCAAGGAACCTGGTGGCCGCCAGGGCTGGGACGGACGCCGTTATGAAAGGGCTGCGCTGGGGGGAAGGCGCGCCGCCAGCTCCGTCTGGGGCGTCCCCCGAGGAGAGCGAGCGCGTCGGGGTCAGGGGGAGGAGAGCAGGGCGGCGCTGGCCCCACTCCCGGAGCGCGCCAGCAGGCAGCTGAGACTATTCCGGGCTCAGGCGCTTATGCAACGCCGAGCGGTTGTATAACTCCTTCTCCCCGGCTGAGGGCAGCACCGCCCCGCCGAACGCCCGCCCCAGTCCCCGGCCTGGTGAGCCGAGCGCACATGCCCTCCGACAGCCGCTCCGCCCGCAGCGCACGTGTGTGTGACGGGGGAGAGGCCGGCCAGCGCCTCGCAGGCTTCCGGGAAGCGGCGGCGCGGCTGGTTTTCTGTTCCTCTCCAAACTGGCTGCGTCTCCGCCTCGCTTCAGCCCCAGTTCTGCGTGGAGAGGGGCGGCTTTCAATTCTCCACAAAGGACAACTAGGGCGAACCGTGTGGCCGTGACCCTCATTTTTAAGCCGGCAGCTCCGCATTTGCGATGCTCCCTTTTGTAAAGTTTCACAGACCGCTGTGTGTAATTTTGGCCGTTTTTGTGTTTTTTCAGCGCAGTTTCACGTGCAAGGAGAGGCCAGCAGAAATCTAAAGAGGGTTAAGAGAGGGAAAGCGCGTATATTTATATAATAACCCATCCTCCACTCCTCTCAACTGTCTGGTTGTAAGTCATACGGCTTTTAGGTATGACTGGACAAAGTCTCATCATCCATCATCCACTGTGAACCTCTCACAGTGCAATCCTATGCATGTCAGAGCAGAAGGAGGAATCCAGTGGGGCTTGGAACCTTGAACCGAAGCCTTGTTCCTATTTCCATATCAGGTGAGACAGGCTTAGCTCATCTCCACACCCAGATAACTTCCCTCGTTATCCACAGTATGGCTAGAATCACTTTTTTAAAACCCACGCTAAATGCCATCTGTTTGAATCGGTTATTTAGAAATCAAGAACTCTGCAATGGATCTGATGTTTGCCTGACACACTAAAATGGCACCTGTTCTACTGGGCTGCTGCTTCTCTCCCTCCGTAACTTATGGGAAATGATCACCTGAAGCTGCTCCCTCACGTTTAAGGCCAAGTCACTTGGGCCAAGTGAAGCCCTGGTCAAAACAGGTAACCTTCTTCAAGTTCTGTTTCCAGAGGCAGCGCTGATGGTCCTGGGGTTACTGAAGTTCTGTTGAAATTCCCATCAACCCCAGCCAGCATGGGCCATGTTGGCTGGCTTGGGGCTGCTGGGAGTTATAGTCCAAAACAGCTGGAAGATTTCAGGCTGGCAAAGCTGTTTTTTGGAGTGCACCATCCATAGTAATGCAGGATGAGCAAATATTGCAAATGAAGCTGTAGTGGAACGGGGGCGGACAAAAACCAGAAGCTAGGAGCTGCAGGCAACACCACACCCATTTAAATAGCCTCCTTCTGTCAAATGTGAAAAAGGATTACCCGTATTTTTCGCTCTATAACACGCACCCGACCATAACACGCACGTAGTTTCTAGAGGAGGAAAATCTGTAGGCATGCCACCCGTAGGCATTCCCTCCATAACACGCACAGACATTTCCCCTTACTTTTTAGGAGGAAAAAAGTGAGTGTTATGGTGCAAAAAATACGGTAACTTTGCAGTTGCACTGGTAGATTTTGCATTAAATTGTTCTACAGGAGAACAGTTTGGACTCTTGTGTAAATCTCCAGCAAATCTGCACACTCGGAGCTGTAAAACAACACAGGAAACCTGTGTTTTAGTATCTTAATAGTATCTTATGTGAGATTAGGCAGCGCTTTAGTATGAATTAGATTTGTAGCAGACTCCTGTGGCTGTTTTAAGACCCACTGAATTCAGCAGGACTTGCTCCCTCCCAAGTGTATTTATGTAGCCTTAACAGAAGCAAGCTCCACTGTCTTTGCTGCTAATAAAGAGATCTGAGCCTCGATTCACCATGCGAAATATACCCTTTGCCTTTGCTACTAGTTATAAAAGTGGGATAGGATAATAAATACAGTGCAGTCCATTCCTGAAGCAGCAAAAGTGGACCTTTGATTCCAGAGGTAACTGGTGCGCAGAGGACACCAGGGAGACCAACAATAGGTCAAGCCAGAGCCCATGGCAGGCAGAACCAACAAATTCTGATTTTGTCTCCCATCTTCCTCCCTGTTGAGTTCTAAAAGGGCAAACACTCAAGACCAAGGAGTAGGAGGAAGATGGCAAGCAAGGAGATAAGCAGGTGGAGGCTGGCTAAGGGCAAACTGAGCCTGGATGGACCAGCCTTCATTGGAATTGGGGAAGTGATGGATGAGTGCCGGCCACCTCATTTCCTGGTGCGCTGCAGGGCATAAAATTCCATAGCATAACTATATAATTGCCCTTAAGCACTGCCTGAATCACTCATCGACTACAATAATAAACACCCTTACGAAAGTGTAAAGCCAAAACAACAATGTGCAAAACTGAATGCTGTGGGACAACAACTGAGTAAATGTGCAACTGCATAAAGCTCTGACAAACCTGAGTACAGGAAATTCCTTTCAAGTCCAATTCATTTGCACACAAATGAAGAGTTAACAGAGTTAAGAGTGGGGGACTACATGTCCTCATTTTAAACAATGCCTTTGCACATGGAAAACTTGACGTATCAAGGAAGTTGGACAAGGAGTCTTGTCGCCAAAAAGCTAACTTTTCATACATGGGAATATTTTGATTTCAAGAAATATATGTGATAACTCCCCACCCACTGTCTGAAATGGTACAGTCCCAGGAATTTTCTTGCCACATTATTGAACTGGACGTGATACGGACATTAAGCCTTTGCTATGGTGTGAAACAGCAGAAGCCTAGTTTATGCCTCGCTCGCTTTCATATACTTTTACTCGAATCATTGAATTGTAGAGTTGGAAGGGACCTGAGGGTCATCTAAGTCCACCCCCACCCCCCATGCAGGAATCTTGACAACTTGACTGTTGAACTTCATTGGCTTAAGCTTAGCACAGATTCATGTGCTTGTGGTTGTTACCATAGTCATTGGCAGTCCGGCAACATAACAGTTTTTGACTAATACTGTACTGTACTATGTATCTATGCATGGGTCATGCTCTCAGTGACTGAAACAATGGTCCACTGGGCTGATTTTAATTGGGTTGGGACGACTTCAGAGATCCTGTAATTCCCTCCCTATCATCTGCTGTTACACCACCAGTCAGTATTAATTATATACACCAAGATGCACCAATATTGTCTGGAAGACTTTTATAACAGAGATTTGGCAGACATCCTTGCTTTTTTTCCACTGTCAAGAATCTTTCTTTTTTTTATGCTGAAGAGCCTATGCCTCTGTTTGAAGTGTTTTTGGTTGGCCAGTCGTTTTAATGATTGCTTCTTGCTGTTTTTAATTAAGCACCCTCATATTGCTGTATGTACTTTTATAAATAAAATACTTGCAGTGGTTACAGTTATTAAGGTGCATGACAAATCATTATCAATGACAGTAGTTGCTCATATGTTACCTGTAGTAAGATATACTATTAAATCACGTACAGTGGTACCTCGGGTTACATATGCTTCAGGTTACATACGCTTCAGGTTACAGACTCCGCTAACCCAGAAATAGTACTTCGGGTTAAGAACTTTGCTTCAGGATGAGAACAGAAATCGTGCTCCCGCGGCGCGGTGGCAGCAGGAGGCCCCATTAGCTAAAGTGGTGCTTCAGGTTAAGAACGGACCTCCGGAACGAATTAAGTACTTTACCCGAGATACCACTGTACTGTATTTTGCCTCATAAGCACTAAATTAATATGTGACTGTAAAAAGAATTGGCTAGGTCTGGAGATGTTTCAAGAGTTGTTTACTGGGGACATCTAGTGGTGGATCAAAATAGCTCTCACTTCTTTGTTGACCTGGAAAAAAGACTTGTCAATTCCGAATGTAAATCTTGAAAAAGGTTACTCTATCTGGTTATAGAACAAGAGTGATGGCATACAGTAATCATAATTTGTACCCAACAATAGCACAAATATGGATAATTGAAGATGACGAGTCCAGGAAGCCAAAAATGTTTTAACATAATTTATTCTTTCAGCATATTCTTACAGATCTGGGGTAACAAAAGTCTGGGGGTGCAAGGCCACCTGTAACTGCTAGAATTAGGAAATGTTAGAAATTAATAAATGGCAGAATTTAGATAATATTTGCAGTATTGAAGGGAAGATGCCAGACGTTAAGATTTAACAAGCAGACTAAACCAAGAAGTCACCTGGGGACAAGGGCCATCAAGGTGTCTTTAAGGACAATGGCCAGTCACTGACCTTCTGCCTGAGCTCTGGGTAAATAGCAGAGTTGGGAGAGGGATGTTACAGGAGGTGTGATGTCACACAGGAAAAATGTGTCCTTTTGAAATTTAGAGGTTGGGGAAGAAGGGGGAGAGCTGCACATTTCTTGGCGAGAGCCTGAAGGGAGGTTGGAGATAAGCACAGAAATGTCTGGGAATCCAATGAAGCATAGCTCCTCTTGAGATTTGAGTGCTATGAAATCTCTCTCCATGGAAAGCTTCCTAGATCCTGAAGTTTAACCATAAACCCCAGCTGCCAATGCACCAAGATTTGGCTCCCTACATTTCTCCCAATTGTCTGAATACCAAAGCCCCAAATACACATAACCATCCTAATGACCAATTAGCATAACACAGGGCCTTGCAAACTCTCAGCACAATACCCATAATCACTCTCTGGGTTGATTAACTTAACACAGGATTTTTGCTAAATCCTGACATTTCCAAGGCTCCACAGTGAGTCCATGGTCAAGGTGGTAATTAAAGGCAAGCTTTCAAGATCCATGTCCGGTTCTCTAGGCACTAGACCGCAGGATCAGAAAAGAGGTACCAAATGTTACAATCCTTTGCAGTGAAAGCAAAAAGGGCATCATAAAATTACCTGCAGCAAAGCAACTGCCAAGTGCATTTTAGTTTTGGGACCTGTAAGCAAGATGTTATCCTTTTTGACTCCTTGCCAGCCCTTGGGTTTTATATTCGCCATCACTAACTTAGATTGCATGCCTGATTCTGTCCTTACAGATACAATCAAACATCTGAAGGCAGCCCTGTTTTAGGGAAGTTTTTATTGTATTTTTAACATTTTGTTGGAAGCCACTCAGAGTGGCTGGGGAAACCCAGCCGGGTGGGCAGGATATAAAAAAAATTAAAAAGTTATTAATTATTATTGTTATTTTATAAACAAGAAAATCATCCTGATTATTACTACAGAAACGTGATGGAATCATGTTCAGGAGCAAATGCTGTGTGATGTATTGAGTATTGCATCTCAGTCTGGATAGCTCAGTCGGTTAAAGCGTGGTGCTGATAACGCCACGGTTGTAGGTTCAATCCCCATAAGGGTCACTTGCATATTCCTGTAATGGGGGTTGGACTAGAGGACCCTCAGGGTCCCTTTTAACTCCACAATTCTATTATAGTCCTCTTTCATCATCATCATCAGATAAATATCCAAAAGAAATTATGGGGAGTTGAGCCTAAAATATACAGAGGCAAGTTAGCGTCCAGGATTAAAATCCACCAACTTAAAACATTATGACCGTGAGCCAGCACCTTTTCTAAAACACCCTCTGCCCCACAAACAGTCTCATACCTTGCAGGTTTTTTCACACAGCTCAATGTGCAAGTAAGTGGTGAGCCGGGTGCAACCCAGGCGTCTGCCAAGGACATGGAGCCAGGAATGCAAACATCTGCTCTGCCCCCACACAACCAAGACAAGAATGCCTGTATCTGTAAAAGCATTCTCTTTCAAATATTCAGTTAGGGAGTGCCAACTAATTTTATCTGTCCCCCCCCCCTTATCTGCATGGCTTCCACTGCCTATTTGCTTCGAACCCTCTTGAAGCATGACTCATATGTAGAAGCTGAGCAAAAGAAGCAGCCTTATTTAGCATGACCCTGTCATTTAGAATTTTCTTTTCACTTCCTTCAAACCCAAAACGTGATCTCTCACTCACACACAGAGCTCTCCGATCTAGGAGGCAGTAATTTGGATGTGACTCACAGGGGTGGAACGTAAGCAGCCATTTCACTTGTCCAAGAAATCCTACAGACATGGCAGCTAATTTGGGTGAATCACCCAACACTCAGCCATTGCCCAGTGAGGTGGCCAAGCTAGCACTGAGCTATGGGCACTAGGCAGATTTGAGATTTCACAGCCTTGCTGATTTGTTGGAATGCTTTTTCGAGCTGTTAAGCTCCTTACACCACTATGAGAAACAAAAATGGATGCCAACAATGGAGGTTAACTAAATAGTTCTTTTGGCTGCTAAAAGGAAAGTGTAAATTAGTCATTATTTTGTCATTCCTCCCAACACCGAGAGCACTGCCCAATATTATGTTATATTTGCTATTGCTGAGGCGATAGATATCCACATTTAGTTTACTGGAAAACATTGTAACATTAAACATCTTTGAAATTTAAGCAGTGCCCTGAATTGTTCAGACCAGCGTGATAGTTTGCTTGAGAGATTTTAAAATATGCTCCTCTACTTGAAAAGATACTAGTAGAAAAATCATTGTATTAAGTCTTCACTGTTGCTAAATTTTCAGAGCGCCTCACATACATTGCCACAGGCATTCTTACAGAAACCCTGTAAAGTAGGCTGATGTTCGTATGACATTGGTGGTGTAGTGGTTAGACTGCTGGACTAAGATTTGACAGAGCAGGGTTCAAATCCCCACTTGACCATGAAGCTCACTGGGTGACCTCAGGCCAGTCACTGTCTCTTAGCCCAACCAACCTCACGCGTTTGTTGTGAGGATAAAATGGGGAGGAGAAATATGTATGCCACTTTGGGTTCCTTGGAGGGTTCCTTGGATATAAATGTAAAAATTAAAATAAAATAAAAAAATATGGGAAGCTGAGGTAACCGGCAACACCATCTGTGAATTAAAAGATTCCACCTTGCCCAGCGCCCCCATAAACCTGGCAGCACTCTGAGAGAAAAACTTACTTTATGGGACTAACGCAAGGCACCATCCAATAAAATAAAAAAACAGGATTAAAATGGCATTTGTTGTCACCAAACAAACTGGATTTTGATGCTCAGTAGTACAGTACTGTATTGGTCTTCTATTAATGTTTTGGCCACTAGAGGACCCTCCCGTGATTGTCCAAAACAGCGCAATGAAGGGCATGGATGTCATATACTGTACTTGGAATCAGCAATCCTGAATTTATTCAGAGGATGCTGCAAGCCTGGACATTCTACAAAAAGCAAAGTTGCTAAACAGGAAAAAAATACTGAACAACTATTGTGTAGCTTGGATCTAAAATCAGTCGACAGGGTTGTACTGGGCTATACTTTTCAGTCTCATAGACTGAAAAAAAGACATGAAATTTACAATTGCACACGGGCAACAGAATTCACCATCATCTTCCTTTTTCAAAATCTGTTTTTTGTGCTCTTCTTTCATGCCAACAATAAATGTTTTTGATATTTTCATGCTTTTGATATTTTGATGCAAGGCACCAGAAGGCAGTCTGCTAGGCCTTCCATACGAGAACCAGAAATTTCTGCCATAAGCAGTGCTCAGCCAGTACCAGGGCAGGAGTTTTAAAAGCTGGAGATAGGTTTACGCAGCAAAACATTAAGAGAATGAAAATTGTGAACCCTTGCACTATTTAATGGGGGCATGAAAAACTTGGGAGACCTCTTGCAGAAGGGCCTTTGAAATCCATTAGATGAGTTACCGTATTTAGCTCCTCCTCTCCCAGTTCTGTCTCCTGCTACTTTAATACATAATGTAACACCACACAAAAAAGGAGTGATGTCTAAACTTGCTTATTTTCCTCTTCCCTACTCAGGGTTAGGGTTAGGGTTAGGGTTAATGGTCAGGGGTACCTTACCTTTAATATACATGATAACCTAAGACTGTCCCCACCCCCTTGTGAGACCATTATGTCCAGAGTTTGATGTTACTTAAAGCAGCATTCTTCCATCTTGGGTGCCAAGATATCATTGGACTACAACTCCCATTAGCTAAGCTGCATGTGGATGATGGGAGTTGTAGTCCAATATCATTTGTGGACCCAAAGGCCCAATGACCTACCTGCACCACTGTTCTTTTTGTATCATGCACCTCAGTCATTACTGTCAGTTGTATGTCATTTTCCTTCTGAAGGACTATGCACTTTAACAACAGACACCAAATAAATAGCTAAAACAAAAACTCCAAACATTGGATGGATGGATGGATGGATGGATGGATGATAGATTAGATAGATAGATAGATAGATAGATACTGTAGATAGATAAATAAATATTTAAGTATATAAAAAGCTAAGAAATTCATAAGAGCAAACACAACTGCAAACTAGAAGAAAATACCCACAATCAAACAGACACCAGATTATGAAACCAGAATCTATTCAGAATCTATTCAAGTTTAGCCTATCACTACATGGGAATCTATCAAAACATACATGGAGTTTATCAGAGAAAGAAGCACCAGCAAAAGCGGGGGGGGGGGGGAGAGATATTTACCATGGAATTTGCAATGCACCCGGATTCTATACGAAGATTGCACAAGGACACACCAATAATATTCTGGGCAATCAGATCACAGAGAGAACGAGGGAAAATAGACTTCATCTTTGCTTTTTTATTAGAATTAGCTTTAAGGCCTTATTTTGCTATACATTTCTCACATTGTTACATTTTAATTCAGCAGAAAGGTAACTTGATCAGCTCATTAGTCCTGAATTGCAATTTATTTTCTAACACGTCGTATAAAAATAACTGAGCTGTTACATCTTTTAAACATCAGTTAAGACCTATTGTATACCGAAGATCTTGTAAATGTGCCCCACCCCACTCCCACCCCCCAAAAAATGACAAGAGCGCTTCAAGCTTTGCCATCTTGGACATCTCTCTTGTTATCAACGGTAACTAAGGGCAGCTTCACATGCAATTATTTCTTGGCATGGATATTACTTCTGCGTAGGAAAGCTGCATGTACGTACAAACATGGCAATATAGATGTACATCCCCACTGCGCACACAAACGTGCATATGGTTTTCCTACACAGGCGAGAGATCTCTGTGGGAGAAATTTCCATGTCAGAAAGAGCCCTTAATTCTCCTCCAATAAACTGGAGCCATTCTACACATTACAACAGAGGGAACTAACATGGCAGCCCCCAGATGTTGTGGACTCCAATTCCCATCAAACCCAGCCAGCTATCAGCTATAGAAAACTATCACCAGGAAGAAGTGAAACTAAACCATCCCCTGGCTCCAAACATGCTCCCTTCAGGGAGTATTATTATTATTATACAAGGGCGCAAAGAAAAATATAGCTATTCCCAACCTAATGTCTAAAGTGGTATATAGTGTAGAACTCTGTCATCTCAATCGTTGTGCAATATATAGAATGGCTCTCAAGTCTTTAAAAGATTCCCACTGGCAACAGAATATACGGGAAGCAGCAATTTTGGCACTGATTTTTTCCCCTTCAAGTTTACAAAACACGTCTTACGAGAAGACGTGGAGGTTTTTCTCAATTTTCTCACCATTCTGACTACTCCTGGCCAATCAAGTTAAGACACTACTATAGCAGGATTTCAACACTTATGTCGTGTCAAAATTGTGTTGACCAAAATCAGCTTCTGACCTACTGAAAACTAAAATGCAACTATTCCTTTCTCCTGGCATCACAGTGGAGCAAAGCTGATCAACAGGAGTTTTTTCTTATTATTATTATTGCTGGTGAACCTAAAAATAAAATGAAAAAGTTGCCTCTTGTGAACAATGACAACACAAGCACAAATCAGAAGTATTATTGTTGTTCTGGACATTTAAAATTTGCTATTAAACTTCAGTACATGTATATTACACAGACCATCTCTTTATATTCCTGGTGAATTTTGCCAGTTATTCATATGGAAGTGGGGGGGGTACCCTAAAGTATATTAAAAAACAGACAGGGCTCTTTTGTGGAAAGATTAGGAATTTGGGTTCTCCCCTCTAATGCAACAAATCTGCCTGCTGAAAGGGTCAATTTACACATTCTGGAAATATCATGCTTGCACCTGGGCAGTGGCAAAGCTGCATGCTCTGGAACCGGGGGCGGAGAGCAGGTGGGGGCATGGCTGGTGCGCACCCCAGGGGTGTGGCAAGTGGCCCGCAGGGGTGTGGAACGCTGCCTGTGGAGGCGTGGCAGCGCATGGTGGGGGGGTGCGCAGCGCATTTCCGGGGGGGCGGCCACGATGGTACCCCCCTTCTTGATGGTGCCAGGGGCAGTGCACTCCCCCCACCAGTGCACCTGGGCAGCCCCTCTGTGACGAAATATGCACATATTCATCAACATCCATTGCTGAGTCCTACCATCCTTTTTTAAAATAATATAAGGATCATGAATATCAGACATTAAGTCTTGCAATAATATGTTAGCGTTGCACATGCAGTGGAGATCTTAAGGGAGTTCCACTGCCCCATTGCATGCATGGGTATTTCCAAGATTAAGAATTGGTCCCAGGAGATACCTGGTTTGAACGGAATATTGATCCAGTTTACTTTGGCAGCACTCTATAAGTTTCACAGCTTGTGCGATCATTAGGCTAGCCAGCACCATTTAAAAATAAATAAAATTAAGAATGGCAAAATGCACGTTTACCAAACCTTGCAAATGCACATTAGGTATCTTTTACCAAGGTGTTCAGCCTCACTTTTGACTCCTTCAGCTTTGCTCTACAAATGATTATACAAAGTGTACACTAGCTCCCCTCCCTAACACAACCTAGGCTCCATCTCATTACCATGGGAAACAAGGGCCCAGAATAGTTACAAATGCCTCATTCTGGCTGGACACAGCCAAGGCAGGCATGCAGCTCAATTTGGCTGTTCATTAGCCCAAGGTGGGAACTAAAGTGCAATTCCAAGAAGTACTGTCCATGCTGCATTTCTTAAGACAGGGGTCCATCGCCTTGGTTTAGCATTTTTGCAACCAGTACTTTCAAACTTGGCATTCAATCTTACACACACCTCTACGTTTACCCCTAACTGCCCTGAGGAGTGGAGGGAACAGACTTAAAAGCATCCTGCCTCTTCTCATTTCATGCAAATACACCTTGTTTTGGAAACATATCCGTCTTTCAGCCAAATTTGCAATCTTCCCATTTGATTCAGGTAACCCCACACCTACAAGAAACAGAAGCTTTTAAGTTCTTGTCCCCAAGTGGACACACAGTTCAATTGGTTCAGATTCCAACGGGTTGCTGGCTTCCCTGCCTCCTCTACCCTGTTCCCTTGCCTCTCCTCAATTTTTGTCATCTTCTTCAGGATCCTAAAGCCTGGTGTCATATCCCTTTAGCCATTTTGGGAGGGTTCCAGAAGAACCCAGATTGCTTGAGTATTGCACCATTTGGGACTCAAAACACCCTACAAAGGCCTTTCGTCTTTGGTCCCCCATCATAGCCTTTTTCCTGCTTGCTTGCTTGTATGTTATCTCAGAGCCAGGGTGTCAATCATCCCAACAATCTTGGCATCCATCTAGAACCCCAAACTCTCTACTCACTGTGAATCACAGGAAATTACTCTTTCCCCTGGCTTTGTAACAGGTAATTATTAATGCTTCAACACTGCAGTTTCTCTGCTGTTTCCCCTGATCTTGCTGTTCTCTCTATCCAAATGCAACCTCTGCTTTCATCCAAAGAGGGACTCTGTGCATCTATGTACTGCTATTTCCCCTTTGTGGCCAAAGTGCAAGGCACTGTCTCCACGGCACACTGTGACTTTGGCTCAAGTTGTTGAATAATTTCACGTCTGAGGTGCTTGCTTGTGTGCTCACACGGAATATGTGGTCGAGGACACATGTAGGCTTGGTAGCAGTAATGGTACCCAAGTCACTCAAGCGTATACAAGAAACATCACGTTTTTAATTTTCCCACATTTTTAACAAGTAGGATCTGTAGCTTCACTTGCAGAAGATTTCTGATCTCCTATGACCTCAAAGGCTGTCAGTGAAAAATGCACGACTCTTTGACTTGAATGGTTAGTCACTGCTATCATAAGGCTATGGCAAAGGAACCCAAGAAAAAAGACCTTCAGATTGACATCAGAATCTGGAAGTCTTTTCCTCATCTATAAAATGCTTTCCAATGTTTGGTCCCATGTTGACATCCAAGTTTCATATTCAGGTCCTTAGCCCATGAACTCTAGAGAAAGCTGCCTCCCTCTCTAAATGTTCTTTATAAATGCAATCACTTTCAAGTTCATTTATAGATTACTGGTTCATCCTCCGTTGGTTAAGGGAAAGAGGAACGTTTGACATTTTCTATCTTAACAAGTTTTGCTTTTAACATATTGCAGTGCCACGTATTAAAAAACTATTTTCAGTAGCTAGCGATTTGCAATCCCTAGTTGCTCCTACATAGCAAATCTTCCAACAGATATAAGGAACAAGTTTCTGAAACCTACAAAAGATACAGTACCATCTCAGTTACGCAGAATATTATTTTGTACACTTTAATCAACTATACTCATTCATCCACAGCTCCTAGGTGTCAGTTGAGTAGGAAATCTGGCTCTGGGTAGCCAAAAAGATTAAAATCTCCTTCAAAACGGGCATAAAGGCGGCGGATGTCTCTCTTGCTAACTCCCGAGAAATAGCGTTCCACCTTAGTTTTGTTATACAGTGTTATCCCCGGCGGAATAGTGGGATAAGACACCAGATGGTCTATTCCAGCTTCCTTCAAGATGTATGGTGCATCCTCTTCCAAGGTTTCATGATGTCCAATTACACTGTATGTTATTTCACAGGGGGCACAAAGTTCCACGTAGGTCACCCAATGAATGATGCGGTCTCCAAATTGTATATCTAGCCACCGATGATTTGGATCACCCAAGTAGCGCACGAAGTCCTCAAACTGCAGCCCCCTGGTCTCAGTGCGATTCTTTCTATATTTTCGAATGATGCCGGGAGCAATTTCATGCCTATACCAAGGTTCAAAACGAGGATTGCGGACAAACTTGTCTTTGAATGCAGAAATAAGCCTCTCGAATGGATCTCTTACGATAAGGAACTTGAAGTATAATTTCAGCCTGAAATAGGTAAGAAAAAGAGAAAACAAGTTGTATGTGGCAATTTTAAGAATTTGTTATCTGCTGGAAATTCACAAAGCTAAATAAAATGAGCAGTGTTCCACACATGCATGTTCCTCACTTGATGGCTGCAGCAGCAAATGGTGACTTGCATGTGTGAATGCAACAGCAGATAAAGGTAAAGGACCCCTGGACGGTTAAGTCCAGTTGAATTCGACTATGGGGTGCGGTGCTCATCTCTGCTTTCAGGCCGAGGGAGCTGGTATTTTTCTGCAGACAGCTTTCTGGATCATGTAGCCAGCATGACTAAACTGTTTCTGGTGCAACAGGACACGGTGACAGAAGCCAGGTCACACAGAAACACCATTTACCTTTCCGCCACAGCGGTACCTATTTATCTACTCGCACTGGTATTCTTTAGAACCGCTAGGTTGGCAGGAGCTGGGACAAAGCAACAGGAGCTCACCCCATTGCATGGATTAAAACTGCAAACCTTACGATCGGCAAGCTCAAGAGGCTCAGTGCCACCCATGTCCCGAATGTGACAGCATAGCGGTAGTGGCCATACACACCGAAAGTCTGTCCATGCATTCTTCAAGTTACCAAGCAATGAGAAATCAACTGGTGTGAATGAACCAGCCCTACAATTCCCAACAACATTTGGCTCTTATGTCTTACCTAAATGAAATGTTTAGCCTACAGAGAAAGTTTTTTTTGTTTTTGTATTTCCAGAGATGGAGAATCAGCCAGCACCACCACCCACCCACACTTCTTCAGGATGAATCCTTGCTGCTCTACAAAACTGCCATTTTAAGAACACTAGGGTATGGTTGACGATAACTTTATAAACTCATCAAGGGGGTCAATGAACTTGGAAGTTTGAGAAAACTGATCTAGCCTAATTGGGTTGGACGATATATCGATCTTTCCAAAACCGGTTTGAAGTCCATTTTGTGATACTGGTTTCAGAATTTTTGACCTGGCAGTATGTCGTGAATCATTGGGGGGGGGGGCGAGCACACAAAACTGCAAAAATCACAATGTGTAAAAAACAATGAAGCCAGCCAATGCTTCTCTCAATACCTGCAGCCCCTGTAAACTGTGCTGGCTCAGCTCTCCCCAGCCTCCTGCAGTGAATCACAAGAGCAGACGCCGGCAAAAATCCTGATGCAGGAAAAACTGTGAAGCCACAGCCAATGCCTCTACATAGGTAAAGGTAAAGGGACCCCTGACCATTAGGTCCAGTCGTGACCGACTCTAGGGTTGCGGCGCTCATCTCGCTTTATTGGCCGAGGGAGCCAACGTTTGTCTGCAGACAGCTTCCAGGTCATGTGGCCAGCATGACTAAGCCGCTTCTGGCAAACCAGAGCAGCGCACGGAAACGCCGCTTACCTTCCCGCCAGAGCGGTACCTATTTATCTACTTGCACTTTGACGTGCTTTTGAATTGCTAGGTTGGCAGGAGCTGGGACCGAGCAACGGGAGCTCACCCCGTCGCAGGGATTCGAACCACCGACCTTCTGATCGGCAAGTCCTAGGCTCCGTGGTTTAACCCACAGCGCCACCCGCGTGCCTCTACATAGCTCCATCCTTATTTCAGACATCGTGATATACTGGTATATCTAGCTGGTGATATATCACGATGTTGAAAACCAGATATTGCCCAGCCCTACAGCCTAATAACATTCTGGATCACTCAAAAGCGTGTGCACTATCATGTGACATTTTGGTTAGCATAACAAAGGTTCTGCCTTAGAGGTCAACATGGGTTACTTCTCCTTTCAGCATGCTTACTTTTCAATCACGCCACTTAATTTGGTTAAGTGTGGCTTTTCAAAACAAGACAGCTGTTTGGTTCAGACACCAAGTTAAGCTAAAGTTTATCACCTACCGCTCTTGAATTTCTGAGTCACTGAAGGAAGATAAGCGTGGCAAACCATTCTTCTCGTGGTCATGCACAATGTTCTCTGGGATCTCCTCAATGGAAGAAAAAGCTCCTGGGGAAAAGTTAAGTTAGTACATATTTTTAGAAAGTTACTGTCAGGGGCTCAGGGGCAGAGCCAAGGGGAAAGAGGAGTTGGAGAGCGAAGGGGAGGAATCTGAGGGGAGCTTAGGAGGGTATGACAGTGACCCGAGAGATTCCATGAGTCTCTCCAGCGAATCAGAAGATTCTCAGAAAGAGGCGCCCAGGGTCAGGGCAAGGGGGGCCAGCGGTGAGTCCCCAAGCGGCAGCTGGAGATCAGGGCCAGCTTCCCTGCCAGAGCGTAGCGGGGGGGAAGAAGCCCACAGATCAGAACCGGCGTCCACTCCAGCAGGGAGAGAGAGAGAGTCAGAACTGACCACGCCTCCGTCGGAGAGTGGAGGGGCGGAGCGGAGGTCAGTTCCAGCCAGCCCCTCCGAAGGAGGAAGCAGTGACAGGAGCAGTGTAGCCGTCAGGAGGAAAGTGGCCGGCTGGGCGCGCGCGTCAGCAGAAAATCCGGATTGGGAGCCAGGTCCCAAAGCCCGCCGGAGACAGGGGGAGGAGTCAGAGGAATCCGCCTCCGAAGAGTCCAGGAGGGGTGGAACCCCAGGGGGCAGGAGGACCCAGAGGAGAAAAGAGCAGAGGAAGAGGTGGAGCAAAGCTCGGGTGTTAAACTGGTGTAGGGGAGGGGAAGAGTCAGACGGAGCTTCGACGGTCTAGAGTTACAGACGTAGGGATGCGCGCCACGGATGTAAAACCAACAATGAACTTCAATAAAGACTTTTGTATATAAAGAGACACTGGCGTTGGTCCTTTGTGAGCTGGGACCTGAGGCACCCCTGACAGTTACCTTTCTTTTTAAAAAAGAAAATTGTTGTACTTTTCCCTGTATAATATGCCCCCTATTTTGGGGGACTCAAATTTAAGAAAATGGGGGGGAATGCCCAGAGTTGTAGAGCTTTTATGGTGGGAGGAATGCAAAAATTCACTAATCCAAATGCAAACGCTCATAAAAGATTGCGTCGCAAGAGGAGGAGTTTGGATTTGATATGTCGCTTTATCACTACCCTAAGGAGTCTCAAAGCGGCTCACAATCTCCTTTCCCTTCCTCCCACACAACAAACACTCTGTGAGGTTGAGAGACTTCAGAGAAGTGTGGCTAGCCCAAGGTCACCCAGCAGCTGCATGTGGAGGAGCAGAGATGCGAACCCGGTTCACCAGATTACGAGTCCACCGCTCTTAACCACTACACCACACAAGCGTCTGCCTGCTTGTCTACAGCAGCCGACCATCGAAAGCCCAATTGCCACAGCAACAGCCAATCCACGGCAGCCCTTGCCACAGCAAACAATCACCCACCAAATCGCTGCTGACAAGCTGCAGCTCGCAGCTGCAACCAGTCACCCGGCCCCACAATACACTGCTCGTGTATAAGACGAGCCCTGTTTTTTATTATTTTTGAGTAAAAAAACCTAGTCTTATACATGGAAAAATACGGTATTAGCTCTATAACTATAACTTTATTCTAAGCTGGGAATGCCTATGGACTATAGATTTTTGAAATGAAATGAAGTCAAACTGAAATGCTAACTTGACATTGCAGTAAACTTTAGTTAAAACTTTGGGGGAATGGTATCTTATGTTTGGAATGGTTTGATTCTCTTGCTTAAGCTGTACTGGGCACAGCAGTAGATTTAATTTTAAAGCTCAGATTGCAATTAGCTCCCAATAACCATAGCAGTGCACCAACCATATTGCCATGGTTTTGGCACAGGTTATGCAGATGGCGCAAAGGTGAGTACCGGAAGACTTCAGGATTTTTATTTTTGAATGAAGTGTTTAAAAAACAGAATATAAAAGAAGAGGGAGTGAAATGCTGGAATAAAAAATAAATAAATCAGTGGACAGAAACAACCTATTTTTATACTATGCTAGTTAATTTTTTTCTCTAGCCAACCAAGCACAGACGTCAGAAGCTTTAAGAAGTAAACAGATACCATTTAAAACAATCAAGACTTTCTTCCACTGAGTATTGCCAACTTTTGGAGTTTGACAGAAGAGGATCTTGTGCTTGTCACATACAAATATCCGATCCAAAACGAATTTTGAAACAGTAGTGTGAGTGAGGTTTTTCAGCGATGCATCTTGGCACACATTCCTGAGTAGCTCAAGCCTTTCCATATGGACCAGAGGTTGATGTATAATGTCTTCAGATAGACCTCTACCTATTGTCTTGGTATAAAATGGGAGAAGAGGAGGGAGGGGGAGGGGGGAAGGAGAGCATAAGGAAGAATTTTATTTTCCAGTTCACATTTTAAAGGAACATGAAATTAGGCATATACAGCACAATTACTCTGGACTGGTCTCATGCAGAACACCCATTTGTGGCATCCTTTGCTTCTACTATGGGACAGGGGTGGCGCTGTGGGTTAAACCACAGAGCCTAGGACTTGCCGATCAGAAGGTCGGCGGTTCGAATCCCCACGACGGGGTGAGCTCCCGTTGCTCGGTCCCTGCTCCTGCCAACCAAGCAGTTCGAAAACACATCAAAGTGCAAGTAGATAAATAGGTACCGCTCCGGTGGGAAGGTAAACGGAGTTTCCGTGCGCTGCTCTGGTTCACCAGAAGTGGCTTAGTCATGCTGGCCACATGACCCAGAAGCTGTATACCGGCTCCCTCGGCCAATAAAGCGAGATGAGCGCCGCAACCCCAGAGTCGGTCACGACTGAACCTAATGGTCAAGGGTCCCTTTACCTTTACTTTTCTACTGGGTGTGTGTGTGTGTGTGACACAATTTGCACAGCTGAAGTTGCTCATTTTCTGAGTGACTGTGATTATGCAAGCCTCTGTGAAAACTCAGTACTGGCCCTAAGTACAGGATTTCCACTAAGCACGCAGCACACTTTCCAGTTTGCCTTCATCAGAAGAACAAATCAATACCTTTCCATGTGTTGGTTGCCAGGCTATATACATACTGCAGTGGTGGGAAAAGCCTTCTCCCACCCCCTGCCCCCATGCTGAAATTATGACGCACTAAGCATTGGAACACAACTTTTTATAGAAAAATTATCCCACCTTCTCGTCTTCCTTGAATTTATGCACATTATTTCCACAATATAATTGCACAACGGATTTCAGAATTATAATAGTTAGTGTATACTTGCCTATGGTTACATTGGGCTCCTAAATTTCCATTCTGTGGATGCGGGAGGAAATTAAGAATATTTACGACATATATTCTGCCCTAAATATTCCTACCGGAATAAAGAGAACGGTTGGAACAGGCCTAATGATTAATCCTTTGTAAGATAAAGCTGTTTGGGTTTTAGAATCCAGCAAACAAGCTGCTACAGGTTGTGCTGAAAAGCAGTATACCTTATACCTTCTCTGCAGTACCATATAGACAAGGAGGATATTGGGATTGTATTAAAATAAAATAAAGTACAGTGGTACCTCGGGTTAAGTACTTAATTCGTTCCGGAGGTCCGTTCTTAACCTGAAACTGTTCTTAACATGAAGCACCACTTTAGCTAATGGGGCCTCCTGTTGCTGCGCCGCCGGAGCACGATTTCTGTTCTCATCCTGAAGCAAAGTTCTTAACCCGAGGTAATATTTCTGGGTTAGCGGAGTGTGTAACCTGAAGCATATGTAACCTGAAGCGTATGTAACCTGAGGTACCACTGTAAGTCATATACCTGGCACAGAAAATACAAAGTTCTTTTTCAGACAATGTGTAACTGATATACAGAATTCACTACGACAAGTTGTGGTGATGGCTTTCAATTCCATATTAAGAACGATTAAAATATAGGATGTTTGTGCATGTGTGTATTGTATTGTTCAGCTCATGTCCCTCAGGGATGGGCCCAGTCTAGCATCTCTGAGGGGAATTCTACAAATGCCTCAAGAGAGGTCTTATCTTTTCCTTCCCGCCAACCAAGCTTATTTTGGTAGAATACAACTTTTATTCTGGGTTAGCAGCACATACCTGAATCTCTCCAGGAAACCTTTTTGCTTTCATCACTTGAATTTTCTCTACTTTAGTTATAGCTGTCAATGTTAACGGCTCTTGCTTGACACCATACACTAGGTAAGAAGAAAACAGAATAATAGAAAGAAAGGCATATATATATATTATTGCCAATCTCTGGTATCATTTATCACATGCTTTGAAGGTGGGCAGCTGCACTTGCTCAATAAGAGAGGCACTCTGCATGCACTCTAAAACACTTTTGGCATATTCCATGTCTAGAAGAAATAATAGCTGACTACCAAGCCCAGCTATGGTCTGAGAACCTTGTTCATGAATCTGCTTAGGGTAAGGGTTAATACTTTACATGCCATACAACCATTGTGTCTGAAGTCACTTCATGAATCTGTGTATTCATCACCATGAATATTCAGAAGGAAATGGCTACTTCCACCTTTACTGTATAATATGCAATTTTGCCTTGAGTTATATTTGATAGAATTAAATTATTTTAGCTTTGTTTCCTTGTGTGTATGTGTATGTATATATATGTATGTATGTGTATAGATAGATAGATAGATAGATAGATAGATAGATGGATGACTAGGAACTTCTGCTGTAGATTTAATTTTTTAAATTTTTAAATTTGTTCGTCACTTTATCTTGCCCAAGTCAACCCAACGTGACTTATAGCCAAAACAGACAGACAAAAACCCCCACAGAGATGCATTAAAACCAGGAGGAAAAAGAACGTTTGTGGAAACAGCAGAACTTCAGAGTAAGACCCTGTTGAAACAAATGCGTCGTAGGTTATTATTATTATTTATTAAATTTGTATGCCCGCAGGTCTCAGTTTGCATTTGTATGTCACTTTTCACTAACTACCTTAAAAACTGGATGGAAGTGAACACTGTGTGCTGAGGGTATGGAAAATGTGTAGCTCCCCTCAACAATAATTCTATCTTAAGTGAAGACGACTGAAGTGTATGCAGCAAAGTCACGCAAGGAGTCTCATAGTTTGCTGGCACTAATCTTCCTCTTTCAGCCACTGCAGTACATAATACTTCCTTTATCAATTTGATCACCACTAAATGGCCTATTATGGGAAAATGCAGAAATTGCCACCATGACATATCCACACACAAAAAGCACTATGTCCCCTGCCAATGGAAGACTTTATCAGAGAGAGAGAGGGAGAGAGAGAGAGAGAGAGAGAGAGAACAACAAGACAGTGCCATCAAATGGATTTAAACTCATTAACAGTTTAATACCATCTGGGCTAAAAAAAAACTGTTAGAGTTTAAATCCATTTGATGGCACTGTCTTGTAGCATGGGACACGGGTGGCGCTGTGGGTAAAAGCCTCAGCGCCTAGGGCTTGCTGATCGAAAGGTTGGCGGTTCGAATCCCCGCTGCTTGGTCCCAGCGCCTGCCAACCTAGCAGTTTGAAAGCACCCCCGGGTGCAAGTAGATAAATAGGGACCGCTTACTAGCAGGAAGGTAAACGGCGTTTCCGTGTGCGGCTCTGGCTTGCCAGAGCAGCAATGTCACGCTGGCCACGTGACCCGGAAGTGTCTCCGGACAGCGCTGGCCCCCGGCCTCTTGAGTGAGATGGGCGCACAACCCTAGAGTCTGTCAAGACTGGCCCGTACGGGCAGGGGTACCTTTACCTTTACCATCTGGGCTACTTAAGATAAGCAAAAGACTAGCTGTTATTTTTCAACTAAGCAGCCGAGGACAGAAATCAATAAGAAGCAATACAGGGCCAATTTGGGATAAAGCACAAAAAAACACCTTACAAACATGCCCCTGAAAAGCAAGCATTTAAATCACTATTCAGGATTAACATGTAAATGCTGTATGTAGTAGAGAACAACACTATTTGTACTTTCCCATATAAATTTTCATGTTGCACACAAAATCTTTTGCATCTAACTCTCATTATCACACGTATTGTTTCATGTCTTACTGTGTTTTAATTTATTCGAAGATGCCCAGAGTGGCTGGGGAAACCCAGTCAGATGGGCGGCATAAAATTATTTATTTTTATTTTTATTATTTCAGAAATAATAAACTTCTCACCACCTGGAACCTTCAACCCAAGATCACATGGCCCAGTGTTAGCAAATGGGAGCAAGGAAGAGTCGAAGTGTTCATTCTGTAGCAACTTGCCAAATGACAACTTTTTTAGATATGGCAATTTCTAAAGGTATATATTGGTTGCCAGCTAGACAAGTTCTTTCTTTTTGCAGATATACAGTTGCATTGAATATGTATACTGCTTTATACCTATCTTTCATGTAGACAAGCTGTTACTTGTTCTAAAATCAACAAACACAATGAAAAAAAGCAGGCAGGGGGAAAGGAATGGAAATTCGGGAGATTTGTACTATTTCTTTCAACTTTTTCTAAGCTGCTAAAACCTTAATTGCTGCACAGCATATTTGATTCGTTTACCTTAAGGAAAGCAAGTCATGGAAAAATATGCATCTTCAACAAGCATAATTCAGATAATTTTTCCAACGTGTGATTTATAAGTGGGAAAGCACGTTGTTAAAGGAAAAGCATTTTCATTTACTAATTATTTATACTGCACATTGTAGTATTCTGTAATGTTTGTAGAAAAGACAAGCAGCAGCAGCATATAAAAATAATTCTCTGGACGTTAACACTGCCAGTTTTTTTTGTTCCAGAATGTGCATCAGTAAAAAGAAAAAGATATATGAACTTACCATCAGGATTTTTGAAGGTCAATGTGATGAACTTGCTAGCAACCATGAACATGAATACAACCCAAAAGCATGCAGCTAACAGCAGCCACTGGCGGTGCATGATGTTTCAGATATGATCCATATAACGTCCGTTGGTTCCTGCTGCTCTTCCAAAACAAAACAAAAATGAAAAATAAAAATGTTCTTATGAGTTTCTATGCTGCCTGTCTATCTGTAACAGATCCAAAGCAGCTATAAAACAAGAATAAAACATTTAAATGCATCGTAAACAAGCAAGTATCTATTTTCACATGTACTTTTTTTATTTTCTGAGAAGTAGCCTCTTCTATAACTAAAGAAGCATCTCCTTCCATTGCAGTCTACTCCAGTAAGAGGATTAACAGTACAGCCCTTGAACTACCCTCAGCTATAGAATTACTAGAATTCATTATTTTACACAGCTATCTTCAAAAAGAGATTGCCTCCCACATGCTAATTCCGGTACAAATACATACACACTAAAGGTGAAATGCTGACATTAAGAGAGGTGGCTGGCAGATCCAGACCTCCAAGCTATAGGAAGTGGCCTGCCAGCCCCAGGCAGCTTTATCTTCTGATCTAATGCTAAAACTCTTTGTCTGTTCTGTAGATGGAGATCTCTAAAGAGCAGAGAGAGCACTTTATCTACCAAATCAGGAGATAAAGAGATTCCTCCAGCTGCCATTGAGCGGAGGATTTCTAAAGAGCAGCCAGAAGGGTCTTTTTCTATGTACCATCAGCAAATTATCTGTGCAAAGCAAAAGGCAGCATTTTGAGACACCCCACTGCTGGAGTGGGAATGCTGACTGTAATTGTGTGTGTGCCTGTGTGCAAGAGTGTTATATTTAAATGCTTGCTTGCACGTTGTTCGACAGTGTATGTGCGGTGACTCTGTGTGCGCTGCATGTGGGCAATGCACATGTGTAGTGAGCGTGCATGCATGTGCGTGTACATGCATGGTCCACATCCGTTGTTGGCGTACGGTCCTCAGAGGGGTAGCTGTCAATGTGGCCGTAGGGCTGGAAAATGTTAGCCACCCATGCATTAAAATAACAAGAAAACTATGCAGAAACGGATGGAACTGTAAAAGACAATAGCCCAGTCTGCACATCATTAAACCATAGTTAAATGTTTAACTATAGTTTCCCATGAACCAATAGCATGCTTCTGCGCACTGCTCAGGATTCCCCACTGCTCAATGCCACAGCTCACCACAAGCAGCAAACCACAAGCCAAGAAACCCACAAGGTTTGTTCCCTATGTTTCGAGAAACTAAGGCCAACCTGAAAGCTATTACCAAGTTACCCCAGTTAACATTACTGACTTCAGTTGATGCAGCCTGAAGTATAAAGTGCAAAGAATGGATCAGCCACTTTTCACTGGTTGCGCATGCAGAGATGGCCTCAGCCTGGGAAACAATGGAAAGAATTTCTTTAAACAGGAGGTACAGACAGGTGTGGCAAATTGCCCACCTGGGAAGGTTAACCCATGTTATGAAGGTGTCTAATGGACCGAAGGAAATATGACAAATATGGCTTGGCACGAGCCCAAATCAAAGAGAACACGGGTATCCGGGTATATAAAGCTTTTACTGTCCCAAAATAAGACTTGTCACTATTTCTGACATTTTGGTTGCTCCCAATAAAGGCTGCACAATTGTGGATTTTGGAGCAATTAAGCAACGAGTCTCAAAATCATTTCAACAGATTACATAGGGTAAATATTAAATGGACTATACGCTGTGGTTTTTTGTTTTTGTTTTTTAAATGAGCTTGCAGATTTTTAGAGGAATGTACCCTTGTTCAGAATGGATAGATTTGTCAGTGTAAAATAAAAGTTTAGTAGAGGAACCGTGCTAATCTGCAGTACCAAGAGGACAAATGGAGCGAAGATGGAGATTAACCTGTTTGTTGTGAATACTGTGTATTTTTGTAACATTTGATTCAGCTGTGCAAGTCTTTCCCCTTTCTATGCAAAGGCCTGTAAAAGCTGCCTTAAACATCTGATGAAGTGGGCAGTAGCCTATGAAAGCTCAGCCGTGCCACAATAAGCCAGTTATTCTCCAAGATGCCACAGCACTTTTTGTACAAGCTTTTAAGAATCACGCTTGAGCACATTTGCGGAAGCCATGAACAAGACAGCGTCACAGAAGTCTGGACCTGAGTTCTCTTTCAAGCTTCTGAAATGCTCTTGCCAGTCTTAAATTGGTGCCAGTCTAAGACAGAACAAACAATTGCGTCCCCTGCATACATAAAATTCTAACAAAACAAACCATTCACAGAAGTTCTACTAAATATATCTAGACCACAAAAAGTGGATTTTATGTAATTTTTAAAAAAATAAAAATCTTCGGAATTGTACTGAGCCTACAAAGCAATACATTGTTCTCAATGCTGCCACAACTCAACACGTTTGGGAAAGCATGCTGCAGGTACACAATTCTGCACTGTAGAATATACATATATGCATGCATGCACATATATTTAAACCCCAAGTACGCACATCTGGTGACTCTGGGCCAGAGCCAGATGTACACAGACATATCCCTCCACCTATCACGTGTGTGCTGGAAGAAACACCAGTGTAAAATCTGCACACACGTGCATCAGCTGTGTGACGTATGGAGCTGCCTTCAACTCTTCCTAGTTTAAGACAGGAATCCTGATGTCTTTCATTAAATTTCTGGCCAAGTTTGCCCTTACTTCCTGCTACGCTCAATAGGATGATCTGAATGCAGACAAGAGTAAGGAACCCAGAAACAAACATATTGCTTTTATTTGCTGGGTCTCAAAAAATACATTAAACCATGACCTAGATTACACATCTCCCTTCATGCAATATTTTATTTAAAGTAACAGGGTCCAGCGAGACAGACTGCTTTCTTTCCCCTGAGCTCATTCTTATAGGATTGTGGAATCATAAAGAGAGAAATATTTGACCCACTTAAACTTTTCAGCATCTGCAATTATAAAAATACACTTGGTTGGGCACCATGATATCACATATACACCTAGGTTCTCCTCTCCATTTCATCTTCACAACAACTCTGTGAGGTAGGCCAGACAGGGAAAGTGATTGGCCCAAAGTCACCCAGTGAGCTTCATAACTGAGTGGGGACATGAATTGCTGTCCCCCAAGTCCTAGTTCAAAACTCTAATCATTATACCACACTGAAGAAACTCTGGGTCAAACTCCAAGTTGGATAACATTTTCAGCCTATGAGGGAGGCAAATTCCCTCATAGCCAAATTTATGGGAGCCACATAGTTTGAAGGGGGGGGGTATTGTTCGGCATTTTTGTGTTTTTTATACTGTAAACTGCCCTGTGATCCTTGGATGAAGGGCAGTATATAAATTTAATTAATAAATAACAGATGTGAGTGTACAAGGTGGAAAAGTCTTGCTCATGGTTTGCATGAGACAAACCATGAGCCTGGGTTTGCACATAATGCTGAAACAAACCATGGCTTAGATCTATGGCACAGTAACAGCAGGGCTATGGGGACGCGGGTGGCGCTGTGGGTAAAAGCCTCAGCGCCTAGGGCTTGCCGATCGAAAGGTCGCGGTTCGAATCCCTGCAGCGGGGTGCGCTCCCGTTGCTCGGTCCCAGCGCCTGCCAACCTAGCAGTTCGAAAAGCACCTCCGGGTGCAAGTAGATAAATAGGGACCGCTTACTGGCGGGAAGGTAAACGGCGTTTCCGTGTGCTGCGCTGGCTCGCCAGATGCGGCTTTGTCACGCTGGCCACGTGACCTGGAAGTGTCTCCGGACAGCGCTGGCCCCCAGCCTCTAGAGTGAGATGGGCGCACAACCCTAGAGTCTGTCAAGACTGGCCCGTACGGGCAGGGGTACCTTTACCTTTACCTTTAACAGCAGGGCTGATGGAAGAAAGAAGAAGCCATGATTTTCATTCCAGGGTTCTGCACATTTGGCTGTTCTCTCCAGCTCAGTGTTAACATGTCAACAAGGCCTTTTAGCCGTCTGACCCTTAGTAAGCATGGCTCATGGTTCCTTCCCATCAAACTAAGCTAGTGCAAGGAAGAACTCTTTCTTTCTGCCAGTACTCACAATCCCAAAGCAGCCCAGCATCACACTTTGAGAAAGCAGCTGCTACAGATAAGTGTGGATTGCTCCTGACTCATTAAATGATGAAGGGATCCTAAAGGATTTAGATGCATCGACCTCAGATGAAAAGTTGAAATCTGACACTTGTCTAGTCCACTGCATCCCTAATTACTAAGTGAAATATGAAAATGGGAATCCCCAACCCACTCAAAACACAGGATACAAAGGCCGTCTCACAAAAACGGCAGCAGATAACCTAGTTTTGGGATTCTGTAGCAGAGAATAAGCTACGGCAAAAATGAAGTTGAATTCTTAACAATCGGGGGAGTGGGGGGAGTGGCAGAAGATGGCAGTAGCAGCCAAGAACACGAATTTAAAAAGTCATATATATGTGAGATTTCACCGTTTGCACACTGTAACAATTGTCAGATTGTAATGAAGTTGTATGGCATCTATGAACGCTACACTTGTAGACTGCAAGTTGCATTTTATAATATAATCATGCTCATAAAACTAATAGCAAGTCTTACAAATGGGCAAGGTTACCGGTAAGTAAGGAAACAGAGTGTAGCTATAAAACTGCAATACTGCATTCTGCAAAAGTAGATGTTTAAGGCTTCCCACCCCCCAGCATAAAATCTGCACCATATGTCCATTTTTTTCAATTCCACAATTGGTATAAGACGCATACCAATTTAATGCAATTTGCACACATTGATATGGAGCATGAATCTCCATTAAATGTGTCCCATTAATTGGTGTTCTAGAGACCAAGTAGAGAACTGAAGTTGTGGGTCTATGGTGAAGAGATCATAGTGTGAACTCAGCAAGTTCTTTCTACATACACAAACATGTAAATAAAACATTCAGAAATCCTAGTTATTGCAAATAGCATTTTTTATTTCACTCTATTCCACTGAATCCTCAGTGCTCACCTCTCTGTGGTTTGACATCTTCCTAATATATTCAAGGAGGTTGCTTTGTTTACAGGGCACTGGGTCTTACTCCTATAGCATTATAGGATTGCACACTTTGGCAGCAATCTTAACCTCACTTACCCGGAAGTAATTGCCACTGATTTCATTGGGAGATGTATCCATTACAAGCAGCACACAAGGGTAAAAACCATTCCCAAGCCCTCCATCAGCCCCACCAGGCATGGCCAATTGTCAGGGATGATAGAAGCCGTAGCCCAACATCTGGATATTCATAGGTTCCCCATTCCTGCTCTTATTTGTCCCAAACACCTGGCACTGACAGATCCCTTAACATGGAAGGTTGTTGATAGATAGCAGACACCAATTTATCTTTTTTCTATGACTTTGTCGAATATTTTAGATGGTAATCGCTACATCTGGACTCCAGATTGCCTTTTAAGCAGGTGGCAGTCAAACAAAAAACCACAGGCAGATGTTTGCTTCTCATCAACATCAGACCTAGCACCCCTGATAACCAGCTCATAAACTTCATTTTTTAATTGGCCTCTCTGCTCCAAAATTCCTTCCCTATACATAGTGAATTTCAGCTTCAAACCTATTCTATCACCTTCCCTGGCAGGTACTCGTTGCTCACCATCGAGACCCAGGCTGAGAATAAACTAAGGTTAAGACCAACTGCTCTCTTCATTTTATACATTAAAAAAGCAAACCTATAAAGATAACAACCTGTATAAAACTAGGCAGATCACATTTCTGAGCTCTCATAAATGTTATTTGTTTGTTCAAGATGGTCATATTCTACCTATCTGTAAGTGAAATGCAAGCAAAGGGTAAACAAATGTCATAAAATAATTAAATTTTACTGCAGCGTTGTCTTACGTTTTCCAAAGCTGTGGTCCTGTGCACATTTATCTGGGGGGTAAACCCCACTGAACAGGAAATGGGACTTACTTCTGAGTAAGCATGCATAGGTTTGCACCGTCTCCAAGCCTGCATTAGCAAATGGCCTTTAGGTTTCTTTCTGAAAAACAACTGAAAGGTGTGTTCTTTTACCTTCTCCAGTTCATGTCAAGCGCTTGGGCACACAGCTGAAAGAACCTAGATCCTTACGGCCACAATCCCCATCTCATCAGACGAAATCATGCTCAAAAATTCCCTAGCCAAAAGTTCTTAACAGGAAGTGAAGGGCCTTTAGGCCAGTTCAGATATCACTTGTACAACTGATGCTAGGGGTTACCTGCTCCTGAAAGGTAGCAGTCTGGCACCTGCACATGGCTCACCACTGCATCCAATTTATTTCTGTGTCTTATCATGCATTATGTCAAGATGCTTCCATTCAACTGCTTTAAACTGTCTGCCGGTCAATTTCATTGGATGAGGCGCCAAGTTCCAGAACTGTAGAAGAGGAAAATGTCCACCTAGATATCCTGCACACGCCACTCACGCCTTCACGTTTGTTTTGCCTCCTTAAGAAAGATAACCCTCCTCTAACCCGCTGACCATTTCAAGTGACAGTCCTAAACATACTTAGGAGGCAGAATGCCCCACTGAAAAACCATGTGACCTTTCTATAGGATTCAGCTACTCATTGCTCTTTTCAGTCGGGTTGACAAAATTGCTCACAGTGGCTGTGCTAAACATATTTAGATAAAATGACAATACGACGCTAACAGTTTTATTTCCAAACCCCTTCCTAACAATTGCCTGAATCTTTATTTATTTGTTTTTGTTTATTTATACACACTACTGCAGCAAACTGGGGAGGCAAATGCAGTGCACCTTCCCCCAAGACATCAAGATCTCTTTCCTGAAATTGTCGCCCCTCACCTCCAAGGAATCCACCCGCTGTTCTCTTGCCCAGTCAACCAAGCTGGAGGGGGAAGGAATCCTTCTGCACATACACCAGTGCTCCATCTTCTACCTCACAATTTTAGACCGTATATACGGATTAAAGACACCTAATCAAAAGTACCTTCCTTGTGGGGGATTTGTGAAAACACTGACTAGGGTCTCACTACACCTAGGGGGCTGTGGCTCAGGGATGCTTCGCAAGGTTCAATCCGTGGCGTCTCCAGAGGGGACTGGGAGCCTGGGAATGTCCCCTTCCTGAAATCCTATACAGCTCAATGGACCACCGCTCTGACAGCTGCCCATACCCTGGTTGAAAACAAACAGACCCGCCCCCCTGTTAACAAACGCGGCTTGAAAAGCCAGGTACTTACTCCGGAGGGGGGGGGAGGGCCCGGGGCTACTAGTCGAAACAGCCAGCCCCTCTCGGGGTGGGGCAGAGTCCTTCGCTCCCTCCCGGGGAAGAGGGCCAAGGGCCGGGGCTCCTGTGGTGGAAGATGCGTCCTTCCTTGCAAAAGCCGGTGCTCACCCTTTTGCAGCCCAGCTGAGGCCACTGCTGCAAGCAAGCGGCCCGCCGGGCGCGCCGTCTCCACCGCCGCCCTCTTCTCCTCCCCAAAGGGAAAGGCGGCTCCCCCCCCCCGGGACCTGAGTCGCTCAGCGACCCGCCGCCGCGTTCCCCTCATGCATTGCCCAGCTCCGCTCCTCCCACAGACCCGCCACCAGGCCCTGCTGGTGCAGCAGCAGCGCGAGCCGGGGAAAGCGTCTCCCCTCAGCAGGCGACGCAGACGCGCAGCCCGGGCTGCAGCTGCATCGCCTTCTTTGCTTGCTGCTCCCCCCCCCCCGCTCTGATATATAGATATAGATATATTATTGCCTCCGCAGCTGCAAACAGCAGTAGGACCGTGTATTCTCCTCAGCTTCCGCTGCCCGGTCCTGCTGCTCCTGCAGCAGCAGCAGCCTCCGCAGCCTCTTCCTCCATGTTTGCGCGCCGCCTCGGAGGTGGCGCCGTCGCGGCGCGCAAGCTGCGCTGCCTTCCCTAAGCAGGCGGGCAACAGAGGAGGCGGGGGGAAATGGGGAAAGGAGGTGGGGAGAGGCGTGAGGGCCCGGGGTGAAGGAAGAGCACCTCCTGGGCACGACGCTGACTCAGCCCCCCCCCCGAGGGGGCGGCCGAGGGAGGATGCAAAGGAAGCCTCGCCCGCCACGGCGAACAGGCCAATTGCATGTGAGTCTTGCACGTATGGTGATCCGCGCAAGAAGCAATCTTCTGTACGCGGTGAATGGTAGAAGGGAATCTCGTATGAAACTTCAGAATGATTAAAATCTATGCAGGTTTCAGCAGTCAAAACGGCAGTAACAACAAAGGTGGTCAAGGCTTCGGGACTGCGTGGTTGAAAAGGAATGTTTTTAGCAGAAGTGGAAAATATATTGCATTACAGTAACTGGATAATTAAGTGAGCTTTGGGTAAGGAATGCTTATGCATAGGCACAGGGCGGTCCTGTGCATGGCTACTCAAAAGTAGGTCCCATTGAGTTCAATGAGACTTCCAGGTAAATGGATGTAGGACCTACCGCAGAACAAATACAGATAAAGGGCATTTGTGCGTTTCTCCTGTGAAGCGCCACACCTAACAGCAAACTCTAGTATGCAAAAGTACATCCCCCGAGAAGTATTTTAAGGTGCCGAAATACTTTTGGTTAGGTTGCAAGACTAGGTGAGACACTGGCCTAATCCAGCAACCAGGTTCTTAAGGAGATCTGTTGTGATAGCAGAGCATCAGTGCCTAGGAGCAGTTACAGATGGGTAGCCGTGTTGGTCTGCCATAGTCAAAACAAAAAAAATTCTTTCCAGTAGCACCTTAAAGACCAACTAAGTTAGTTCTTGGTATGAGCTTTCGTGTGCATGCACACTTCTTCAGATACCAAGTATCTGAAGAAGTGTGCATGCACACGAAAGCTCATACCAAGAACTAACTTAGTTGGTCTTTAAGGTGCTACTGGAAGGAATTTTTTTTGTTTTGCCTAGGAGCAGTCTACCTCTGAATACAAGATGATCGGAAACAACAGCTAGAAAGTGCTTTTGCACTCATGTCCTGCTTGTGGGCTTCGCCTCCATTATGGGCTGAGTGACTGCCATCTGTTTGGCCCCAGTCCCTTGCCCCAGAGGACTTCAGTGGGCCCTGCAGCCTACTAGGCAGAGATGGAAGGGAGAGGGCACTTTGGGAGCCCCTTGGGGCTATGAAGTGCATCGTAAATATTCCAAAGAAATGAATAAATAAAACTGAGGTTCATATGGGTAGCTCAGAGACCCTCCTAGCATAGGCCAACAGCAAGTGGAAGCTGCTGTTTGCCTGCTGTCTCTCCTACCAATTTTCCATGACAGGTTCTGTGGGAGAACAGAGCATCTTAGAATCAGGGGGCTGGTCAAGTCAAAGAGGTAGGCCACTGCCACCCACAATCAAAAAGAGATCCCTTCCTTAGTCTCCTTAGCCTTTTCCAAATGGGCCATGTCCTCCTGCCAGGTGGTCCATCCCCAAATCTAAGCTCTGCCTCAGAGACTCTCCTCTTAACTTCTCTGCCTTTGCTGACTCCTTGTCTTCTCCCTGCAAAGCTGTCCTCAGATCAGGGGCATCTTACCCATAGAGGCTAGTGGTGCGGAGCGCCGGGGTGCCAAGTTCTGGAGGGCACCAGGGAAAAGGTGGACGCTGGACACGGCACCTCCCGGCATCAGCTCGCTGCCCTCACCCGCCTCCGCCATGTCACACCGAAGCAGTGCCACGCCTGGAGCCTCCGTCTGCCATGGCCACTGCAGCACGAAGCAGCCAGCTGAGCCAGGAGGCGCCGTGTCCAACCTCTGCCTCATCCCCGCCTTAGGAGCCGCCCTCCAGCTACTGCCCGCCTCCTCCAGCCCCACCGGCAGTGCCGTCCTCCCTAAAAAACTCTGGGAGACGGGGGGGGGGGCACTGGAGGGAGCTTTGTACCATGGCACTGGATATGCTTAAGACAGCCCTGCCTCAGATAAAACAGTCAATCATCAGGAGCAGAGTAGGGTTCCTCACATTTGGGGCGGGCCTCACTGAGGAGGCCCCCAACAGCAATTCAGATGCTCCTCTAAGTCCTGTTTTCATCCAAGTGGGTCCATGGAGAGCTGTGGATATGGCTAAAGGTAATTGGACCCCTGACCATTAGGTCCAGTTGTGACCGACTCTGGGGTTGCGGCGCTCATCTCGCTTTATTGGCCGAGGGAGCCAGCGTACAGCTTCCGGGTCATGTGTCCAGCATGACTAAGCCGCTTCTGGTGAACCAGAGCAGTGCATGGAAACGCCGTTTACCTTCCTGCTGAAGCGATACCTATTTATCTACTTGCACTGTGTTGCTTTCAAACTGCTAGGTTGGCAGGAGCAGGCACCAAGCAACAGGAGCTCACCCCGTCGCGGGGATTCGAACCGCCGACCTTCTGATCAGCAAGTCCTAGGCTCTGTGGTTTAACCCACAGTGCCACCCGCGTCCCTTTGTGGATATGGCTAGGGGTGTGTTAATCTGAGCACTGCTAGGCCTACACATCCATTGCACTCAGCAATTGTTTTATGTTTTATGTACGCGGTAGAGCAGCCATGATGGATTAAAATGGATGTCACTACTCCCTGCCTGTCTCTGTCCCTTTGTGCACATTCTTCTTCTTGTTGTTGCTTTAGGTAATGGAGACATTTTGCCAGTGCTTCACTCCAGCCAGGCAAAAGCACATGAGGAGGGTACATAGCAGTGCCAGTGAGGGTTTGGCCTGGGGAGAGCCTGAGGGCCTGATAGCAAGACCTGGAGGGCCACATTCACACCAGTGCTCTATTGAATGGCAGATATACCAAGCAATCAAAATTGGATGCAACCCTGCTTGATTTGGGGCTATTGTTTGGGGTTTTTCTGAGGTACACGTTTGCATGATTGAGATCAAGAAGGGCAGACATACCGTACTAGAAGCTAAGCCCTTGAACCGTCAGTCATGGCCTGTGGGAGTCTGGTGTGTGGTCTGAAAGCCTGACAGCCTCCACCTATTCTCATTTTGCTTCATTCTAAGTTGGGCTAAACGTAATTGTTTAACAGACAGAAAATTTCATATTTTTTTTACTAAAGCCGACATCTGAGATATGCCAACATCTGTGCAATTGCATTAGGTTCTCTGCATGCATGCACATATTATTTTAGCTCTCCATATGCAGTCAAGTGGAAGTTCCCGGCCTCTTCAAATCTTCCTAGCTGGAAGGTTTGGCCACTGGCCTAGATGGAAGACAGAAGACAAAGAACAATTTGTGACAGTTTTTCTCACTATCACCACCACTCTTTGGTAGTATCGCTTTGTGGTTGTTAGTGGTTCCTGAAAGATTTATCTAGCCATACACTTTAGTGTTTACTTGTTAATGCAATTAATTAAGCAAATTTCTTGAATCCTAAATCAGGACATATATGCCTTTTGCCTTTTGTTACTGTGTGGACTTTCTGCATAGGGTCATTTTTTGTAACTAGGCAATACTCAGGTTCACCCATAGGTGGAGCTTACGCAGAACTTGCATCATGTGTATGTTGCATATTTCTGAACTTGTTTGTGTGTATGTTGCATATTTCTGTTTGGTTAATGTCAGAAATCCCAGCTCCGACGTTCTGTTAATTCCAAACTAGTACAACAAACTGATAAGTATCCAGTGAAAGATCTAGCCAAGGTAAATTAATTGCACTAGAAACATTGATTTAAACCTATTTGCTTTCCTTAGCCCAGATCAGACTTGCTTAACTTAGAGGAATGGAAGATAATCTTCTGTTGACAGAAGGCACCAAGATCCAACAGACACTCCCTGCTGGATGGATGGAAGGGAGGTGATTTTTGCTGATTGCCCCTTGCCACTGGGCTGCTTTGGAGGGTCCCCCAGTTCTCCCTGGCAGATCTGTAGGGGGCACAGAGTGCTGAAGCCAGACAGGAGGGAAAATATCAGTAAAAATCACCTTTCTTCCTTCTCTTTTGTGCAAGGAGAATTCTGCTGAGTACAAGTGTAGATCTAGCAACCCATTGCAAAAGAAATCGAACGCAATCACTGAAGTACTAGCCCAGGGCACATCGAAAGCTCAGTTACAAGTCAAAACAAGCAAGCAAAAACCCAGACAACCCACACTTCCTTTTTCTACACTTTCCATTTTGAAGTGCAATATTGAAAGTAAGCATTCCAAGTCTGCATCTCAAATAGCTTGTAGATATTTTAATTGTTTTATCATTTGAATGCTTGCCGCACAGGCTCCTTTGGAAGGAAGGACAGGATATAAATTAAATAATAATAAAATGAAGCCAAACTCTCATGGAAAACCTATGTTCTGAATCATGTTCCACTGGATTAAATCTCCAGCAATAAATTGGATATGTTCAAGGACATTGTGGCCAATTCCTTGCCATCTTCATCTGTCAGCCTATCTATTTCCCACTGTTCCGAGTAATAACTAGCCTCTGCTGCTGCTCAGTGCCTTGCTGCTAGCCTGGAATTGAAAACTTCATTACCAAGGCAGGCTATTTTCAGGCAATTCTTCTGGTTGCTGCTTGTATACAACCCAATGCACATTTTCTCAGCATATTTTTGCCTAGGCAGTAAGGTTTAATTAGAGTATATGAATTGACATAATAGAAATGATAGGAAATTTAGTCACTTATTTAAAAGCATTTGTAAACCACTTAATATTTTAAATGTATCTAAGTAGTGTAATACAACACACACACACACACACACACACACACACACACACACACACGTATCATTAAAACCAAAATACAACCTAAAGCCAAGTTTGTAAAGTAATATAAGCATATAAAAACAAATAAATTCAACATATCAAACAAGGTCAAATATTTTGAGTCAGTGAAAGCCTGGGAGAAAAGATAATTTTTTACAAGATGTCTGAAGCAACATGATGGTTGCTGCTTCATGCAAAGGTAAAGGGTAAAGGGACCCCTGACCGTTAGGTCCAGTTGCGGACGACTCTGAGGTTGTGGTGCTCATCTCACTTTACTGGCTGAGGGAGCTTCTGGGTCATGTGGCCAGCATGACTCAGCTGCTTCTGGCGAACCAGAGCAGCGCATGGAAACACCATTTACCTTCCCGCCAGATCTATTTATCTACTTGCACTTTTGCGTGCTTTTGAACTGCTAGGTTGGCAGGAGCAGGGACTGAGCAACAGGAGCTCACCCCGTCGCAGGGATTCGAACCGCCGACCTTCTGATTGGCAAGCCCTAGGCTCTGTGGTTTAGACCACCTGCACCCGCGTCCTGTATGTATGGCAAAGCAAATGTAACCATGACATTACTGATAGTAACTCCAGCATATCCTTTCTTGGAAGCATTTTACACAGTACAAACCTAGGCTTGCTCACTCAAAACAGGGAACCACAACCAGTCTCAGGTAATTCCACCTTTATAATGCATAGGTTTTCCAATGTTTATTTGCTCTGTGACAAGCAGCTGGTAGAGACTGCTGCATCATATATCTGTTGAACATCCATATCCCAGTGAGGAATGAAATCTTTTGCTAGGTGGCAGGAGCCTCTGTTCATGTCAGTGGAAAAGGGGGGCAGAGCAATGGGGCGGAGAGGGGTCAGCAAAGGGCACTATGTCACAGTGTACATTATGGCTTACACCATGCCCTGACCACGTGAGATGGACCAGGGTTCTAGTGTCATGGGCTGACCTCACTTCACTTCCACTTTACATTTCTTAAGTGTACACAGATAAAATTGAACAACCTGACCCTATGTACAGTTTCTACTATGCTCCTAGGCCTTACAGGTGAGATAGGAATGAACCGTTAGGTATAAATCTAAAAATATATATCATGTGACCCATAGTATTTTCTTTCATTACATTTTTGTCCACTCTTCTTCCAAGGTGCTCAGCTCCCTGCAATTTGATCTTTACAACTGGTCTATGAAAAAAGTTAACCTGATGAGCAAAGACTTGAGCCTGAGTCTTCTCAATAGAACTCCAGTTCTTTAACCACCACACCACTTGGGCCAACAAGTTGAGACCTGAGTCAGACAATCAGAGACTCTGGTCGTCAATGGACCATCTAGGATTGGGAGCACAGCCTGTTCTGGATGAGGTTGTACTCCCTCTGAAGGAGCAGGTCTGAGGCTTGGAAGTATGCCTGGTGCCAGCATTGCTCCCTGATGTTCCCTTGGCTGCTGGAGTCAGTAGTGCTTTTGCATCATTTGTCTCCCTTCTCATAGCAAAGAGAGATTGGTTGCAGAAGCACATACCTACTATGCATAGCTGTTAACCTTCCCCTTTTTTTGCGGGAAATTCCCTTATTCCAGCACCATTTCCTGCTGCATCCCGCTGCTATCCTGGATTGTTAGATATCCTGTAGACTGCCCCCGGGACAGGTGAGGCTGCTGATCCCTTATTTTCGAGGCTGCTGATCCCTTATTTTCAAATCTGAAAGTTGACAGCTATGCTACTATGCACCTTGACTTCTGGCTAAGCTTCATTTGCTGCCTCACCTTTCTCTAGCCCCAAAGCCATTGCGAATCACATGACTGGAAAACTCTGTGATGCATATGCTAACCTTTTTGCTGAATTGTCTTGAGGATGGGCCTTTGCTTCTGCCTCCATTTCAAAATGGTTCCTATGTTTAATCAGAGATTGTAATCAGAGTTGAGATAGCAGGGAGGAAAGTTTATATGAAGTATCTACCAAGGGTGATAATGGTTGCCCCTTTTTCTATTCCATCTAATCTCTTCACTTTTGCAAGTTGCATGTGGCTGAGGGCAACAGAATTACCAACCTGATTTCCAGCATCATGTTCTCCACAGGGAAAGTACAGGAAGTGCAAGACCTCCCCAAGGCATTATTTCATTTGCAGAGCAAATGCAGCTCATTAAAACTGATGTGGTGCTGGTGAGGCCATTGACGATACTGAACTCTCAGCACACACCTTTGAAATGGAATAAGTGAGGAAAAGAACCTATTCTGATTAAAGGAGACAGTTTAAATGTCTTATCTGGTTAAATTGTGGTTTTACAAATTCCAAGAACCATAAGCTAATTTTTAATGGATGTTCAGCAAGATCAAAAACAAAAGCGTCAGTTTCAAAGCAGTGTTTTGCATCCACAAAATGCCTCCAGGAATGATTCCTCTTGAGTGTATGCACATTAAATTATGTCTGAAATGAGGCACCCTATCAGGGGTTTCAAAATGATCACGATTTTCCTCTAGAATCAGGTCCCACAAAGTATGAAAGCAGAAGTAAAGTGGGCTGCTACATCCAGTTGTTAATAAAATCCAGACAGGCAGATAGCAAAAGGCAAGGCACCCACAGAGGACCTTCAATATGTAGTTTGCATCACATACTGAAGACACATCTCATTACTCTGACCTTAGACACTTAAGATATAGATATTTTAGGACCCACCCTGTTATTTTGATGCCTGGGACCAGATGTAATCAGATCAGCTTACATAGCACCTTCAGGTACCAAAGGCTGCTGTAGAGAAGAACTGTGTTCTACGAGTTCCATTCAAGTGGTCTATATGGAAAGGTTAATCTGTATTTGAATGACGAAACTGACTTATTCCCCCCCACCCAAATAATGGAGATTAAGGTCAGCAGCACTGGATTTTCCAAGCAAGCTAACAAGACCCTGGCGTAAGGCCTATGATTTACATAATATGGTGTTGGTGTGGTCTATTTCTTCTCCACTACAATTTTTTTCAGTTTAAGGACCCTTTTCTGCATCTTTCCCTCAGGGCTTTTGGTTTTCGTAATACAACACTTTTTTTTTTTTTAATGATAATGCTGGTGCTGAAGAAAATAAAAAGTTCAGGTGGTCTGCCAAGACCTCCAGAAATTTTCATGTGGTGGTCTACCAAAAGATAAAATAAGTTTGAGAACTACTACTGTAGAATTATTCTATATTCCATGACCCTAGGGCACATAATCACATTACAATTGATGTCACTGATTCAACATCACCAAGTTGACTTCATGGCTGAATGGAGATTTGAACCCTGATCTCCCAGATTGTAATCCAGCACTCTAAGTACTACACCACGGTGACTCTCTTACACAGCACTTTGACTCATCTTGTGTCTAGCAAAAAAAGGGGGGTACGACTTTAACAGATCATAAACTGCTACAATTATATATTCAATTTCTCCCTCATAATCCTCACCTTGTATGTACATTGTGCATTCTGTTCTTCGGCAATCTAAATAGTGACCTGTGATTCACTCTGATCTTCTGGTAGATCCCGACCTGCTAGTTGGTAATCCCTGGATTTAATCCAAAAAAGCATTATGTAAAATTGCCTTTCCATTGATTGATAGCTTGGTTGATCTACAACCAATATGGAATTATTGCATTTAGATAACTCAGTTGTACTAAGTTGACATATGACGAAGTTGACATTGACTAAGCTTAGGCAATGTCCAGCATATAAAAAAATGTTATGGTATCAATAGCGGCATCACTTACTGAGGGCTCGATCACTCAGTGTCCCAATTTATGTAAGAAGGAATGATTTATTGGTACAACCTTGACTGAAGAAAGATGTAGGTATATTTTGTATATTATTTATTTAAAAGATGTCTAGTCCACCTTTCAGCAGGACTCTTGAGTGGTTTACAGGGGCGCCGACTTATAAAAAATATTGGGGGGGCCCATGCTGGTCAAGGAAGGCTCCCCTCCTCCAAAGCAGACCCGATCCAGGCGGCTCCATAAAGCTCCTGGAGAGAAGCGGGGGGGGGGGGGCGCGGAGAGACAATGCCAAAACTCAGGGGGCTCCTTGAGCCAATTGCCAGAGATGAGCCCCGCAGGGGGAGGCAGTGTCCTCTATAGCCCACCCCAGCTGCCCTTCTTGTATCTACAGCCAGTTTGGCAGGGGGCGGTGGAAGGGTCTGGAAGGAGCGGGGACCACCGCGGAGCACACATACCGGGAGCTGGAGAGGCGAGGCCCAGCCGAGAAGGGGCCAGCCCGGAAGGCGCAGCTTCACAGCCGAAGCTGTCCTCGGCTTGGGGAGCCGGAGAAGCTGTCGGGTCAGAGCCCTGGCGCAGGCCTAGCTGCTCCCGCGACGCCTCTTTGCTCCCGGGATCGGGGCCACCAGCTCAGCGCTGGAGCCGAGGGAGCCCCCAGGCAGGCCTGCGAGCAAAGGCAGAGCCGCCGGGCGGTGGCCGCTTCTGCAAGGCGGCCGGAGAAGCGGGGACCCCCTCCCCTCCCCGCGTCCCCCCCACTCGCTCCCCCCTCTGAAACTTTGTTAACACTTCCACGCTGAGCCTCTGACAATAGGGGCGGGCCGAGGGCACGACGCGGCTGGGCCCTCTGGACTCGCGCCCCCCAAATAATTTTCTTAAATTATTGGGGGGCAGAGCCCCCCCAAACGAATTTTTGAGGGGGCTCGGGCCCCCTCAGGCCCCATGGAGTCGGCGCCTATGGTGGTTTATAACAAGAAGATGAAATACAAAGTAAAATATAATCACAAGTTAAGAAAGAAAACTAGATGAAAATAATACATGAAAATGCTTGGGAGACCCAAAAGTATTTGCCTGGTACTGAAATTAAAACAGTGTTGGTGCCAGGTAGACCTCTCTAGGGAGGGAATTTCACATACAGAACATTCTCTCACTGATCACCACCCACCATAACCTCTGTTCCTGGTCAGGTTGGTGTAGGATCAAGCATTCCTTCCGGGAAGTGGATCCTAAGCTGTACAGCCGAGTTTGAGGAATTTTTGACCTGCCAGATATTGATGATCTACAACTCCCATCTGCCCTAGCAAGCATGGCCAATGGCCATGGATTATTACGGAAAATGTAGCTCAACAACAGCTGGAGAACCAATGGGTCCCCACTCCTGGATGAACAGACTTTTCAAGTAAGTTTCTTACTGTATCTGAGATTATACTGTAAATTCTACAGTATTGGTGTAGAAAACAGAAGTGTTGCTTAAAGTATCGGGTACAGTGTAGAGGGTGTGGAAGAAGGGAGGTTGAATTGTACAAAAATCACACACCTTCCCATTCATCTCTGAACCGCCTCTTTTGAATAATTTAAAACGATTTGCTTCCTGTCGTTTTATATATTAAAAAAAATAAAATAAGTTTTTAAAAGTGACTTCAACAATCAATAATTATGTACCAGCTTTGAATGATCACTGATGGCATTTTTGTTATCCGGCACACATTTTAGTGTTAATATTCTTTATTGAATTTCAATTGAGTACTGATATTACACAGAGGCTGGTTTTTATGTCCAGCGCATTTTATCTAAAGTAGAGATGTGTCTGAAAGGGCTGCATATTGATTTATAGCACTGGCGTGTTGCATATTGCAATGCTTTCGAATATAAAGAACTTTTTAAAGATTCTGCATGGCAGAATTTATGGGACTTTGCAATAGAATGGTGAATATATATACAACTGTTACCTTGCTTTCTTTAGGGACATTTTCCTTCCGCCTTTAGTCGTCCATCCCCAAGATCTTTCAGAAACGTTCATTCTGTATATTCTTCTTCTCGGAAACTTGGCTAATGCGTAGTTGAAATCGTTGTGCGCCAAGCGCCGAGCAGGGAGCAATTACTTCCTGAATGAAAGCGCAGCGTGGCGCTTAATGAGACAACGAGGAGCCTGCGAGGTGCTGATTGGCTCTTCTTCCGAGGGGAAGTTTGTTACAAATAAAGATGCTTCTCGAGTTCGGGAGAGTCAGACAAAGGCCGGCCAGCAACGCGGCTGTTTCGTGGGCTTGGACTGAAGATGCAGAAACTGTGTCAGAGAAAGCCCAACCTGTCTCGGCCGCTGAAAATGAAACGGCACGCGCCTCCCTTCCCCTTGATCTTCGTTATCTACTGCGTTTGCACCGCACGATTCACCTCAGGTAGGAGCCGCGTTCCCCACAATGTGTATTATTTTAGATACTTAAGACTTTTTATACAGCGTCCTTCATTATGTCTGTGGATGGACGATCTGGAAAGTTTACAGCAGGACTGGGAAAACTGGAAGAAATGCTTCGCAGGTTTCCTGTCCGTCTAACGAGAGGTTTCTTGGTTGTAAGCCAAGCTTACTTCTAAGAGGAAACTTGCCCAGCAATCTTGTGCATGAGCGAGTCAGAATCTACTGCTGTAGCAAGTAAACAAAAAAGGGGCTTCCTTTAACTTTTACTAATCTGGCTCAGTCCTTAAGAAATGAGCAATAGCTTCCCCACGCGCACAACTGAACGACGGTTTTTGCGTGAAGTGGAAGAATCCTCGCCTGTGGAGGGGAGAGCATTTGGGAAGTCTTCCTAATCTAGTAGTAATCTAAGAGTAAAAAGGCTACGAGCTTTTGCCACAGTGGATTAGGGTTTCCACCGGGGTCTTTCTCCTGAAAGAGGAGGAAAGTTGTAAATGGAAGAGCGGCCAATCACTTAAATAGGAGAAGCAGAAGTAGAGCCTGCAAAATTTCTCTCTAGATGAAGCTCCACGTGGTCAAGGGGGCTTGTTTTTAATAGTACAGTTAAAAGGATCCGGAGACGGTTCAGAAGCTCCAGCACCTGCGATGCTCTCCAAGGTGCTGAAACGAGGATGACCATCCCGTCTCTTTATAAAACGTGTTGTATTTAGCACAAAGCCTGAGGAAACGTAGGTATCGGGACACAGATTTAAAATAAAACTTAAGCGTGTGTGAATTGTGAGAAGGGTGGTAATAAATAGATGTTAGGCTGGTGTGTGTGTGTGTCTGTTTTCTCTGTGAGAAAACTATGTCCAGTTTCATCGTCATCTATTTATGCCATTCTGATCTACCGACGATTTTTTAAAAAAACTAATCAAAAGAGGCTAATTATCACTGTACTGTGTAATAAGTTTTTAAAAATGTGCACATACACACTCAAAGAGTCAACCGAATACAGTACTACAATTCTCTTAAGTGCCTTCTGTTGGACTTGCCCTGTCTTTCTTTAGATCTTTATGCAATTGAGACACGTTAATTAAACCCATGCTGTAGTGTATCTAATGCTTTCTTACTGTTTCACTTTAACAGGATTTCCACAGCCCTTTGATGACTATCTAGGCGAATCAGACATTCCTAAAAGCAAGGTATGCAAACTTTTAAATAAATTTCCATGCCTGTGCTTGGAACACCCATCCCAAAAGTGTGTGAGATCCCATGGGAACACTGAATTCTACCGCTATTATAGAGGGAAGACAGCCTGGTATATGCCTGATGCATGTAACAAGAACAATTGGTTGCTGTGTCCCCATGTTCACTGTAGGAACAAAATCTGTTGATCTAGTGTATATATAAGCTAAAGAAAATCTTCAAGAATGTTGCCAATATAATAAACTTTCCGATTTCTCTACCCCATTCTCCTCCACTTCTGATTTAGAGACTAGTATGGTGTTTCTGTCAGTAGATGTCTGAACAACGCCTATGCAAAAATAAGTTGTAATAAATTTTCAGTGGCATAGATTAGGGGTTTTCGAAGTTTCTATCCCTGGGGCAGACATGAAAGGGTTTGAGGCCCTGCCAGTCACAAAATGGAGGTGTTGTGAGCAGTGGATGGAAGCAGAGTTTGACATAAACACGACTGACATACTTTTATTCTGATATGTAATCACTCTTTGTGGTGGCAGGGAGTTTCATAGTTCACCATTACTCAAACTAAATAAAGACTCTGGAGTGTGAGCCTGTCAGCACATCATGTCTGCTCAAACATCTGCACTGGCCACTGATATGTTACCAGGCCAAGTTCAAGGTGTTGTTATTAGTCTATAAAAGCTTCATTAGCTTGGAACCAGTTTACTTGGGGGAAAAACACCTTATCCTTTATGGGCCCACTAGACCACCTTGATCTGTTAGAAGTTGCACTTTTAATGTTTTGTTTGACTCTTGCGGCAGCATTCTGAATTAAATAAAAATTAATTTTATGGCCACAATCAGACATGGTGATTTTATATCAAAACAACTGCAAAATATGTAATGCTTGACTAACTATGTTTGAAAATAATGTATATTAGAATGATTTTTTAAATTGATGTTTGTATAATTACCTCTTTTTATTATTATTTGCTTCAAACACATCAATATTTAGTTTAAGCTCTTTTTGTCTTCTAGATCTGCCATTCTGTTATGGATCTTTGTAACTCCATGTTTAATGGCATGCAGATAGATGAGGTATGATCCGATTCTTTCTTTTCTCTGAAAACTCTGTCACAGTATTTATGTAGTTAAGTAATCATCTATCCTCATGTAATCTGATATGCTTCTCCTCACTAGGAAAACAATCAGGAAATATATAAAAGAGTAAGTATTCACCTTTCTTTATAATATGCACAATACCTGTTTTTCGTTAAATAATGCAACATACTAAAATAGCTCTTTCTATGCAGTTTTTATTTCACTACTCCAGAGCTCAAGATCCAACATATCCACTTAAAACCGGGGTTAGTATTTTAACATAAGCATATTTTATATTTTATACATCACAACATACAAAATAGTATAGAACAGTATATAAAATCTTTCATGTGCCTTGAGTGTATTAATTAGCAATGCAAGTCTATGCATGTCTGCTTGGAATTAAGACCCATTGAAACCAATGGTGCTTATTACAAAGGATTTGTGCATAGGATTGCAACTCAAGTCCACAAAGGGCAGGCTGAACCTTAAGCCAGGCAAATAATGTCAAATAAGATTTATCTCACATCTGGACCATACATTTAAAGCGCTCTCATACCTCTTCAACAGTCCAGGCTTCCCCCAAAGAATCATGGGAACTGTAGCTGTGTGAGGGGTGTCCTAACAACTCTCAGGACTCTTAAAGTTCCCAGTAATCTTTGAGGGAAGTCATGATGGTCAAAGTGGTATAAGAGTGCTTTAAATGTACAGTGAGGAAGTTACCAGGATCTGAAAAAATCTTGCAACTAGATTCATAAGCGCCCGGTAGGGTTTTTGACAGCCACCAACGGCACACACTCCCTTCAGTGTGAGAGCCAGTGTGGTGTAGTGGTTAAGAGCGCTAGTCTCATAATCTGGGGAACCGGGTTCGCGTCTCCGCTCCTCCTGCTGGGTGACCTTGGGCCAGTCACACTTCTCTGAAGTCTCTCACCCCCACTCACCTCACAGTCACAGTGTTTGTTGTGGGGGAGGAAGGGAAAGGAGAATGTTAGCCGCTTTGAGACTCCTGAAGGGGAGTGAAAGGCGGGATATCAAATCCAAACTCTTCTTCTTCTTTCTTCTTCTTCTTCTTCAGTGTAACATGGGAACCATCTATCAAAGGGGGGGGGGGAGAATGAAAATCCATTAGCCTAATACAACCCTCTCTTTCAAACAGTTAGTGAATGACTTTACCCACAAAAAGCCTTAGCAACGACTTTATGAAATATTATTATTATTATTATTATTATTATTATTATTATTATTATTATTTAGTATATCTCTGTGTGTATACATATATAATTAGTAATGGTTATTCACGTCATTAAAACAATGGCAAGAAGTGTCCTGAACCACAGTATGGCCCAATGCATGTTTGCCCTGAACAGACCCCACTTAGTTCTATGGAGCTTTATGCCTAGCAAGTGCGTTTCAGATTACAGCATGAGGGATCTGCTCCAAATTACCCAGCACCTCTGCACTGTTCTACAATCCTGGCAAAGCCCCCAAGAGATGGTTTTCTGGCTGCATCTGAAACTTCTTGATAAACTTATTTTGGGACTTTTGAATATTTTGAATGAGCCAGTTCCTTATAAAGTCATCTATGTTGAGATGATGTTACTGGTAGATTAGGAATGTCACTCAATGTCAGGGAACCATATAGCTGTCATCTAGGCTTTACACATTTATCTTTCTAATTTTTGTCTTTGCATAAAATTCGTGTTCATGATATCTCTTTGTTACAGTCTTTCCCTGTGCATCCTTTAATGAGCCTTGCTCCAAAGCTCTCGGAGAGGAGAATGAGAAGATTCCTTGATCCTGTATGCACTCGCTTCATCCATAGTATTTTGTGGCACAAACACTTCATTTTGACTTTTTCCTTTTCTTTTAAAAAGCCATTGTACTGGTGGTGAAATTGTGTGCATTTGTCTACTCTCCTTTCCTCCTTATCTCCCTTTCTTTTTCTTAAAACATTCTATCATTCCGCCCCCCATGAATTTCCTTATTGTATCCCATTTTTAAAGTTTATTCAAAGTAAGTCATAACCATCATTGTTGATGTGACTATTCCTGTTAGTTAATTCTTCTAGTGTTTGTGAACTGCTAGGCACATACACTATCCCTACCCAAAGGATGGCCAAAATCTCCAGTATCACTCCTGTATTGGTGCTGAATGCTGAAGCAACTTTGCAAAGGGCTTTTGCATGCAGGAACATACTGCACTGTAATATCCTTAACTGGTAGAATAATTCATTCCCATTGCAGTCAATTGCAACATTTTGTTGTCTGATATCTGTAGGAGACTGGGTATAGCAGATACAAAAAAACCCCAACAACTCTGTAGCAATGTAAACTACCAGCTGCATCATTTGACTAGTTTAACATTCAGTGAAAATATAGAGAATGGTACTAGGAACAAATTTACAGAATAAATAATAGCACTTTCAAAAATCAATACTAAGATCTAACTTTCCATTTGAGCTTTGGTGTTGTGCTCAAGAGCATGATCACTCCATTTGTCATTTAAGAAACAGAAGCATGCGCTATACACGTTGCTTGGCCAAAGAAAAACCTCGGATGAATTCAAGCTGTTTAGCATTCTCGTTCTGTTTCCAACTTTGCCTGTGGTTTTGTGTTTCGAATGTCTTGCACTGGAGCAGTCTTCTAGCTTCTGCTGAAAGGCATCAACCTATCAGCATTAGGAGATGATGAAATTAACATGCCCTATCACCTTGCAGGAATCTCAGCTTGCAGCTGAAGAATTCGAAAAGAAGGTAGGCTTAAAATGCTGGCATTATCGTGCATATGTGTTACAAACAGCTCCCAATGCTCAGTTAATTTGTTTTGCCACCCTGTGAGCTGTCTGGGTCAGCATATCAAAGAGACAGAAGGCAAGGAATGGCAGGGGTGATGCCAGCAACACAGTAAATGTTTAAATGCTCTGCCCTTTGCTTCTCCTACCTTGTGAGTGAGCACGGGGTAGACTCTTTATACATTCAAAACAGACATAGCTATGATGGTTCATAAGAAAAATGGTAAGGGGGGGGAATCACCCCAAACCAGGCAAAGATTTGCTCAATTTGGGGCAATTTTGCCCTTCCTTAGCAGCCCTCGGAATGCCATCCCAAGTTGTTCAGGAGGCATCTCTAACCTTCTTAATATGCTTCATGGGGGTCACAGTGTCATCTCTGTCTTCCTCTTCTCCTTGTTCCTATTTCTCTGTTGGTGGTTGCTATACTAAGGCTGCAGTCCTAACTTATCCACCCCCCCCCAGCTGGTGGGGCTTTTTTGGAATGGCAGGGCCACCAATGCATCTGAAGCCCTGCTGTTCAGAAAGTCTGTGGTGGAAGAAGGAGTGCCAACTTGATTAAATTATTGGGGGGGGGCAAGTAAACCCTGCCCCACATAATCGACCACGTGAGGGCAAGATTTGAATGACAATGCCCATCAACTTTGGGGAGCTTGGCCCCCTCAACTGTTTTATGGGGGGACGGGACCTCGGCCTCCTAGGAGTTGGCTCCTATGTGCGGAAAGCAGAGGAAAGGATGATGCGCCCAGATCCATGCTCCTGGCTAGTGCACCAACTGGACCTGACCCTGTCACACAACAGCAGTGAGACCAGAGCTCAGGATCCAATGGATCGTGGACCAGCTCAATCCTGCCTCTTCCTTGCCCCAGAACACCTCGTTGTGGTGTTTTCCTGGCTACCACCCAGCAGGTGGAAGCGGGAGGTTAGAGCCAAGGGAATGATTCTTGTGTCACTTCCATTGGTAATGGGTAGCAGGAGCCAGTTTAGTCAGGAGAGCTGGGTGGAGGGATAAGTCTATTCATTCCAACTGCCCTCCCCAGTCTAGTTTAAATGGGGGGAGTTGGATTGCTTTGACCAGCTGCCTTCTTATGCATATTTACTGGGGAGCGATCCCCATTTTGAACAGACATGCATAAGATTGCACTTGAACACACCTGGGAGGAAAGTTCTGGCTCTGCTGGCTGCAGAATCTCTTGTGCATTTCACTGCCTCCGTTGGGCCTCACTACACTGCAATATTTCAGAACTCCTGACCTATGTCAAAGTGCACAATAGGTTTAGAAACATTTGGCCAAGTCTGCTTTATTTATTTCCTTTTACAGGACAGCTTGGATACCTTGGGCCGACCCTTTTTTCTCTTCAGGGTATCTAATTTTATTTGTTCATTATCGGGGGGGGGGGGGGGATTGAACCATACATAGTTTCCCCTCTTGGTATAAAAAAATGAAAATGAAAAAAGCATTTATAAGGCATGCCGCCCGAAACACACACCATTATATCAGAGCTTTCCAAACTGTGTGTCGCAGCACGTTAGTGTGTCGGCTACAGTGTGTAGGTGTGTTGTGCAAACGCTGTCTGCCTTCCACCCGGGGATGGAAAGGGGTTGATTTAACCTTCGGTTTGCTAGTAAAACTGAATTCTGTGTCGTGAAATGATGCACGTCTGAAAAGTGTGTCACCAACATGAAAAGTGTGGAACGCTCTGCATTATGTGATACTAGCATGTGTTAAAATCTACAGTTCACCCTACACTGTGGTCTCACTGTTTGGCAAAGAATTGCCCCCCACCCACCCTTGCCGTGGCTTCAGTGCAACCTATATGTTGCTTATATGGAGGAGTGCAAGCAGTAGAGAGCTCCTGCCCACAGACCAGCATATATGAATGGGAGGCATGGAAAGATGACCACATGCCTGCATGCTGACAAAACATTCTGACAGCCAATCGGAATGCAGCGCAGTTGTTCTAGTCAGCAAAGTGATGCTCTTTTGCAAATTCTCACCTTTGAATGACCTTGAGCTGGAGAAGCACCTGGCGTGCAGACAAAGTCAAATCTGCACCTCTTATTTTCTGCTGTTCACTTTGTGGCAAAGCTGGAGATTATGCTTCTCAGTGTTATTTCATGAGTAACACTGCAGTGCGTTTAATTTATTTTTCTTTGCGTGTTAAATTTTCAGCCAAGGAATGGAAGGACAGTGGATAATGGAGGTGAATAGGCCAGTCAAAAGGTCGTGTATTTATTTATTTATTTACAACATCCATTATTTGTTTGTGGCGGTAATGATGATATCTCAATGGGGTGCATGTATAATATATGCATATATAATATATATATATGCATCCTATAATAATGAGCATGGAATGACATGGATGTAGCCAGTGGTGGTGGGGAGAATATTTTTATAAGCATGTTGACACCAGTGAAACAGTTCACATATATAGTACTACTTCACACACTCAGGAACAATTGCTCCCCAATACATGGTCTGTGTCATTGGCATTAGCGGCGCCACTAGAGGCAGGTGATGCTGGGTTTCACCCCGTTCTTCAGTCATGTGATCACCATCATCAAAAGTTGACTGGAGCTGCACATGGGTCTCGTGCTACGTGATCTGGAACACCATGTGCAGCTACAGCACACAGATTGATGCTCACAGCACTCCTGCAGAGCACATCTGTCAGGAGAGGGAGTCAGGAACAGGTTGGCAATAGATCAGCGAAGTTCATTCTTTATTCAAGAGAACATGGTTGGCTCAGGAGACCAGGCCTAGTGAGCACAGCAACTCGTCCCAGTAGATCTTGCCTCTATGAGGCAGTTGTGGGGACTGAAGGTCCTCACCGTCCTACAGTTCCCTAAGTCTTCTCCTCCCCTGGGTCATTCCCAAGCCATCTGAGACTATATCACCACAGCTGTCTTTATGCCACTCTCTTCACGCTTCTTTTGGTTCTAGGAGACCAGGAGGAAGGGGAACTGGTCACAGCAGGAAGGGAAGACACCTTGGCTTCTTCACTAACCTTACTCATCTCTTCCTCTTGGCCCCCTCTCATCTCCAGTCTCTGCTTCTGGACTGTTCTCTACCACAGACTCCCCCTGCTCACGAAGCCCTGTTACTGTCTCAGCTTCCAACACTTTTTCCCAGTGTGCTCATCTTACCACCACCAGTCCCCTAGCTCTGAACCTTCTTCTCTTGGGGCGTCTCCAGCTGGTGCCTCCCACTATTCCTCTGCATCCAGCCAGTCCATGACACCATTTCACAATCCATTACCTTTTGCATGAATCAAGGCACCTTTGTAGAAACAGAATAGAACTTCTTGTGTCCAAATGGCTGGGAAGAGCTGGGATTAAAGGACTGTTTTTGCCATGAAGGTGTTTGGACAAATAGCTTTATGTTTTTTAAATGGTTCCAATATCTGAGATTGCTAATAAGATCCCTGCTGTTTTTTAAAATAATTGGGTGTTACTGCCAACAAGCAGTTTCCATGTAGGAAGAAGAAAGGAGCTCTAGCTTTTAGAAGCAGACTCATGGTGTCATATACTGCTATGTATGCCAACTTCCTCATAAGGAGTGCACTGACTGGAACTTCTACGCATCTGTGCTCTGCCTAGCAATGTGATGCATCTCCTGTTTGTTGTGTTTCTTGGTCATCGGCAGAAAATGACAATCTTTTCTCTACCAAAAAGCTTATTGCTAACTACATGTTTTAGCCTTTTTGAATCCAAGTGAATATTTTTTATTTTAACTACCAGCCAGTTCAGTACTGGAACTCATAGCTGATACATACAGATCATATTATTTTGTAGTACTGGTAGGCTTAAAGCTTTCCGAATTGACACAACTGCCTAAAAATGAAGGGTCCAATCCAGTAGAATCATAGAATTGTAGAGTTGGAAGGGACCATCTAGTCCCAAGACCCTGCAATCTTTTGCCCAACGTGGGGCTAAAACCCACGACCCTGAGATTAAGAGTCCTGCTCCCCCAACTGAGCTACCCCAGTACCAAGCCTTTCTGGATCAGACCAAAGGCTTGACTAGTCCAGCATTCTCTATTCACAGTGGCCAACCAGATGCCCATGGCATGCCTGCAAGGAGGCTGGACTGCAACAGTGTTCTTGCAACTTGCATTGTCCAGCAACTGGTACCTAGAGGCATACTGCAGTAGTTATGTGCACCCATCTTGCAAGAGCATATTTGCATGGAGGACATCATCTGCATTAGGTGACGGAGAGGGAAGGCTTCAACAGTTGATTGGAGAGTGCCTTAAGTACTTAGATTCCTTCAAAGACTGACTGCAGTATTTTTCTTTCAGACTTCAAGGAAAGAGAAAACCCAAGGGTCACTTGGCTTCCTCGCTCTATCACTTTAAACTCTGAAAAGAAACGTTTGGACTACTAGTCCTTTGTTAAGAGACATGCTCTTGAAGCCTGTGAAGTTACATGTAATAAATTTGCAGCCATAAATTATACCTGTATGGTTTCTCTGTGTGTCCATGCCCTCCCTTTATATCCCCAATCCCCATATGTACCCAGCTGAATATTCATTTAGGTTTGCCATGTCCTCATTTAGCAGAAACCCAAATGTGTTCTTTGTTAAAAATAATTACGATTCAGTGAATAGTTACTCAGATGTGTCTGCTTTATTTGTGGCATAAGTCATGATAAAGGGACAAGTTGTTGGGATGTGAATAGCTGCTCGGGGAGGATATATTTATTAGATAGTATCCTTCCTTCCTTACGTTTGTGAGTTCAGCAGCTTAAAAGGGAAGCTGTCCCCATCAGTACAACATAGAGGCAGCCATTTTGTTGTACATGCAATGGCCCTCAGCACATAGAAGTACACATGAAGTAGCATGATTCCTGCACCATTTTAAAAAGCACTTACCAGGCATGGCAGAAGTGCTGTGCTTTCAAGCTGCTCCAGGCCTCAGCTTTAAACTGCTTAAAGCAGCAGAAGTGGAGATGCAGAACTGCCCTTGGTACAACTCATATGGACTCCTCACTTATTATTTTTTTAATTACTGTTTTTATCTCCAGATTTTTTAAGATTTTCCTGGAATCATCCTAAAAATCTCCCTGGGACATGATTTAAGACGTACGTGAATGAAATCAGAACAAGAAGAACTAATATGGATTCTGTCTGCCTCTGGGATAGATTCTGTCCATCAAGTGATTGACAGATTAATGGCCCCACAAACCTGTTAGAAATGACCCAGAGAGAGTGGGCCAGTTCTGGATTTGGCCCACCATTACACAGTAATCCAAGAGTAGAGTAGGGTGAACTATTTTGATATAGGTCAAAAACTCTTTAAAAATGTAAGAAAATTCAAACTTTGAAAGATATCTATCTATCTGGGCACCTAAAAGTAAACAGGTGTGGCACATTATTCCTACATAATTGTTTCAGAATTACCCACATTGTAGAACATGGAAGCACTTCCTGCACCACAGGAAATGGTAGAAGTGACTATACAATTCTAGAGATTGGAAAGTGTCAGACCCTTGGGTTCCAGAAGGAACATAATAAATATGTTGTTGCACCTCACCACAATCTCCAAGCAGTGCAAGATTCCAGGGATTCCAGTTGCTTCCAGGGTTGGGTTTCCTCAGAATGAGGGAGAGAGGAAGCTGATATATGGTTTATTTATACACATACATGTATATGAATCTCATTTCTTTTTTTAAAATTGAGTTTGACTGGATCCAAGAATTAGAACAGGGTTCCGGCATATAGCCTATGCCCACCCGAACTCACAACAGTATTTTCAACACACAGTAGACTTTAGTGGCAGAAGCCTCTTGCACACACGAGGTACGTATTAATTAAAACGACAGCTTTCAATTCAACTTCAACTATGGGCAAATCCTCCTGTTCATTCCTGGGGAAGTGAATCACAGCCCAGTCGCTAAAGGGAACAGAACAGAGGATGACAACACTTTTTTTTAAAAAAGGAGAAACAAAGCTCTCTAATGGTCAAGCCCTGTTCCTTAATTGTCAAAGACTGGTGTAAGCCATCCTGTGGTTTTTCAGTTAACTTGGCGAGCAAAACACAATTTCATCTCCATCACAGGGCCACATGAAACTGAACTAGTAATGTATATTAAAACCTTGCAGGAGGTTCCAAAACGCCATCTTGGTTTTATCTCATAGGGATCTAAAAGATATTTGAAGTTGTACATTTCAAACTCACATGCAGAAAACCTGAGACGTAAACACTTCGGTATGTTAATTTCAACATATCTTTCTTCTAATGAAAGCATTTCACATCAAATTAGAGGGTTGAAGGTACGGGTGGTGAAGCTGCAAACCGAAACATATCACCTCCATCTGCCTCAGCCATTACTGTGCGAACTGTACGCATTAAGGTTGTGGTCCTAAGTGTGCTTATTTGAAAGCAAATCAACTGCTGTCAGCAAGAACGACTTGCAAGCAAGTCTGGCTAGGATTGCATTCTGCAAGAAGCTGATTCACATTGGCGCACACTCCTAACTGATATTACTTGCCTGCTTCCAAAGCTAGCTCAAGACATTTCTGGTAAAATGATTGGAAAGCTTGTTACAATCAAGCAGCAGATAATTTTGGTCAACTAAAACAAATTTTGAAACCTGAAGTGAAAGACAAGATGCTGCCCGGCCCGCTCCATTCTACATACCAAAATCTAGCAGGCTGGCATTTTAATCTTACCTCAGTACTGATGAGATAGTACTCTCCACCTTGCCTGAGGGCAGCCAGCTAGCTTAGGGGGCACAGAGCAGGCTGCACGGAAAACACAAACAGCTCTGTACCCCAAGGTGGCTGTCTTTGTCTGATGCTAGGGGCCACCACCTCTAGCTACTCCACCATTATCAAGCATATCTGGGGCTTATTAGATAACAGAGCACACAATACCTGCTGGATGAGATCAGTCACAGCCCAAGGTCATTACTGTACAAGAATTGCGCTACTGCAGGGTCAAGAAGGTGGTGAAGCAAGCAATAAAGCTGGCCAAGTTCATAGGTCAGTGGCTGGGAACCCATAGGTCTTAAAAATAACAGCTCAATTGCTTCACAAAACAACTCGTGTGGATCTGTAATGGAAGGTCATACAAGTAGGAAATATATTATAGCTAGTTCACAGGTCATTAGACACAACCGGTAAGGCTAATTAAAAGCATACAACATTTCTCTGTACATTATAGAATTTGCCTTTATTTTAACATTTAATAAACATCTAAAGTTTTTTTTTTTTTTTACAACATACCATAATAATGATGAATGCCCCAAAGAACAAAAGCTAAGCTTCTGACAATACAACCTTTCTGGCAGAGTCTGTTCTTGCAAGATACTGAAATGCTGAAAGTTTTATAATTCCTGGGATTCGGGGTGTCCTGTGGCTTCCTTACGCTGCAGAGTCTTCTTGGGAATAAGCTGGGTATGGATGTTGGGGAGAACTCCACCTTCCGCAATGGTCACATGTGCAAACAGCTTGTTCAACTCATCATCGCTTCTGATCGCCAACTGGATGTGGCGTGGCCCAATTCGTTGCTTCTTGTTCTCATGAGCAGCATTTCCCGCCAGCTCCAGTAGCTCTGCAGTCAGATATTCCAACACGGCAGCCATGTACACCGAGGCGCCAACACCCACTCTTTCTGCATACCGACCCCGTCTCAAAAGACGTCCAATGCGGCCCACTGGGAACTGCAAGCCAGCTCTTGCACTTTTGCTTTTTTTTACCTTGATTGCAGGCTTTGCCGGCTTCTTGCCCCGCCCAGACATCTTGGATCCTACAAACGAGAGGAGAGCCCACCTCCATTACACAAGGCAAATGGCTTTGTGAGGTGTCCAAAGCCTAGTTGACCTTCCTGCAATTTGGAAGGAAGAGTATTTGGAGAACCAAACGCCTAAGAATTTTCTGTAATAATGACCTAGGATGTGGCCTTAAGATTTACATTCTTCTAAGCAGACTGGTTTTCTGCCAAATCAAGTTCAGCCATTTTAGGACCAGGTCAGCCAAAGAGGAGCTCTACACCAGTTGCTGGACTCCAATTCCCATCAGCCACAGCAACTACGATCCAGGCTGAAGGATTGTAGGCCAACATCATCTGCATACCATCCAACATTTCTCCGATGAACATAAGGACGTCTCATTCCATAATGATGATTTTACTATTTATACTCCATGCTTCTAATAGATATAAAAATATAATAAAACCTTAAACAACATTCCCTATACAGGATTAACTTCAGATGGCTTGGGGGTTGGATAGCTCAGTACCTTCCAACATTTATCCAATTAAAATAGGGACATCCTAAGGAAAAATGGGACATTCCAGGGTCAAGTAAGAACTGGGATGCTTTCTAAATCGGGAACGTCCCTGGAACACAATAGAAACACTTGGAAGGCCTGCATCCAAAAGGGCACCATGTTTGCTATCCTTGTTTAAAACAATGCTACCACCCCATAGTAAGGTATAGAAAGGTAGGAAGAAGGAATTTTTGCCACTGATAGCACAAAGTTTGTTAAGTCAGTAGCAAAAAGTGCTAGGACAAAAAGCTGCTGGAGAATTCTGCTTCATCAAAAAAGATGTCAGTGTCATATACCCACTTAGTAATTCTTTTAAAAATTATGTAATTTTTATTATCTAAAATACAGCTACATGGTGTTAAGTCAATGCAGGAGTCACGCCTCTTTACTAGGAATGCTATTGTACACGTCCCATGGTGGCTTGCTCCTCAGACCTTAGAAGGCCTTATGTCTCACCATACAGATAAAAATTTCATCTGCTATATTTCTTAAAAAACATGATTAGCCTACCATTAAAGGCCAAGCAGGGTTTCCCACCTCCCTAAAAAGCTTTTTAAAATTAAAAAGGAAAGGAAAATCTAACAGCAATCAGTAGTACACATAATATACGTGTGCTAATATACGGTATATTATTGTTAAGCATAATGTATTTATTATTAATAACATATTATCTTTAAGCATAACATAGGTAATACTTATATGTATTACTCTTATATTATAAACTAATTAAACCACTTGCATTTTTTTTTCATTTCAAAAACCCCACTCACCTTCTTATTACAGCAGACAACTACAAAGACAAGAGTTTTCTCCTCCTTTGACATAACCCTCTTTTTAAATCAATTTGTTCAGAACAGCTGCATCCAATTTGTCAGTATTTCTGATTTTAATGGATACCAATCCTTTTAATTTAAAGAAGTCCCATTCCGATCAATAGGGTTTGAGAGGGTATTTTACCACAATTATGACACTTTCAGAAAGCTAATTTTAATTCTCAAGGGAAGTAATAGAACCGTTCTATTCTGCCTTGGTTAGACCAGATTCAATATGTTTTCCACCTACCAAGGAAACTTTCCACTGAGAGATGGAAATAGAGATATGGATAACAGCTGGGTTTTATATGTTAAACAATGGAGGATAAACTATGGTATGTTTATTTTACCCCTGCAGTCCCAATAACAACCTGAAACCTGCACAGAACCTGGTGGAGCCTAATTTGAACATCTGCTATCTCCTCTCATGGCCCGTTTTAAGATTATGGGCTCCTCCATACTTATATTGAGCATTTATTATGATTGGTTTTAATGTTATGACAGCCATATCATATCAAAGCAGAGCAAACAGAAATGGACCTTGGTTTTAGAAGTTATCTTAAGAGCACTACACACTTTCTCTCTTTCAAGTATCCCCCACCCAGACTTTTTGGGGTCTCTTTTTGTCTCTCAACTGTAGCAAGCTGATTAGCAATTTCATTTCAGCTCAAGTTACCTCAGTAACTTGAGCCAATCTCCCTCCCTAAAAGGGAAAGGGACCCCTGACCATTAGGTCCAGTCGTGGCTGACTCTGGGGTTGCGGCGCTCATCTCGCTTTATTGGCCGAGCCAGCCGGCATACAGCTTCCGGGTCACATGGCCAGCATGACTAAGCCGCTTCTGGCAAACCAGAGATAAATAGGTACTGCTCCGACGGGAAGGTAAACAGCATTTCCGTGCGCTGCTCTGGTTCGCCAGAAGCGGCTTAGTCCTGCTGGCCACATGACCCGGAAGCTGTACGCCGGCTGGCTCGGCCAATAAAGCGAGATGAGTGCCGCAACCCCAGAGTCGGTCATGACTGGACCTAATGGTCAGAGGTCCCTTTACCTTTACCTTTATTTCTCTGCATGGAGGAAGGAAATGGGAAAAGCTTTCCAGTTGTCTTGGACTGTAGGGGCTTACGCCTCCCCTTGCAAAATTTGTCTGGCAAGTATCTGTTAAGCTGCACAAACTATCAATATGTGTAAGAGATTCAGGAACTAAAGTATTTACCATCACAAAAGAATGGCCCAGGTTGAGCAATGATTGAACATTACTGGGTATCCTGACAGACAGGTTTTCTGCTGTAGACCGTCCCCCTGTGATGTATGTATGATGTTTTAGGAGGTGGTCTTGAGCTACAGGGGAGGCAATTCCAAAAGTCTATATAAGAGCTTGCACACCATTGTTCAGGGTTCCTCTCCTCCCTCCCTGCGTGGGGGGAGTGGGGGACCCTGTTGCAACTGTTTAATAAAGATCATGCTTACTAACTGCTTTGCTTCTCAATATTCTCTGGCTGGCCTCTGTTATTTTCTCCTACCAATAGAAAACCTACATAAGGACTCTATATGGGCTCTTTGATACCCCATAAGGGAAAAGGGGCAGTTTTTTCTTATAACAGGGTTGTTACCGGTATCTGGTGCTTGCTTTCAAATGATGCATCAGTAGGTAGCAACAAAGCGCAGAGCGGAAGCTTGCGTATATAATAATAATAATAATAATAATAATAATAATAATAATAATAATAATAATAGCATTATTTATACCCCGCCCATCCGGCTGGGTTTCCCCAGTCACTCTGGGCGGCTCCCAACAGAGGACTAAAAACAGAATAAAACTTCAAACATTAAAAACTTCTCTAAAAATAGATTACAGCAAAAGTGACAAAGAATCTCGTGGCACTTGGAAGGCCTCAGTAAATCTGTTAGTCTTTTAATAGTGCCACAAAGTTTGGTTTAGCCACGAACTGATACAATGCAGCAGAAGCAGCTGACTTGTAAGCTTGTGCCATAATGGTGAGGTATGTCCTACCGTGGAAGGACGTGTGGATCCAGAATTGGCCTCCACAGTCACACACACACACACACACACACACACACACGGTTAAGACCATATTCATGGAAGACAATCTTACTCGGCTATGAGTGATCACCAAAGAAGAAGACGATGTCAATGGTGAAGGCTTTAAAGTGCCACAAAACTCCCAGAAGCTTTCCCTAAGTAAAACCAGCCCTCCCATTGGGTAGAGTGAGGCTATGGCCTCAGGCAGTTCATTTTTGGGGTGTCATAAAATGGCAGCAAATGGTAATGTATTCAGTATGCTAAACAGCAGGACCAAATAAAGTGAGGTAGAAGTGTGGCAGCTGGTATTTTAGTTCTCTATAGCTCTTCAGATTCGGGGGGGAGTACAAAAAAAAAAGTTGTAACCGTGAGATGAGCTTGTTGACATCAGCCTATTATTTTTTTAATCCCCATTTACCTCATCCCCTGCTTTGTGCAACATTGTGTATGAAGAAAAAGTGCAAATAATTAAATGATATTAATCTTGTATTTTTATATTATTGTAACTCTCCTTGGAAACATACAGTAAAGTTTGGAACAAAGAAATAAATGAAGAGCTATGAGATCAGCTTATAGACATCAGTCTAATTTATGTACTGTACTGTACTTTTGTTTTGTTTTGTTTTTACCTTCTTCCTTCTATCCACTTGCTTTGTGGAACATCTTCCCAGATGAAGAGTTCTGGAGAAAAATAGTTGCCACTCTTCTGTGACATTTTGGTTGGTGCCAGTAAAGGTAGTGCCCAATGGTGGATTTTGGAATGGTCCTGACCACATTTGTAAAAAGCCTAAATCCTGAGAGTAAGCCTCATTTAAATCAATGGGGCTTGGTAGTAAATAAGGCAAGGGAAAGTAAAAAACAAACAAACCACACACCCAACTGGCTGAGTCTGCATTTAGTCACAAGGTGCTTCCAAATTATAGGAGGCATTCAAGCGCATAACAGAAATTTAGGTAAAGGTAAAGGTACCCCTGCCCGTACGGGCCAGTCTTGCCAGACTCTAGGGTTGTGCGCTCATCTCACTCTATAGGCCGGGAGCCAGCGCTGTCCGCAGACACTTCCGGGTCACGTGGCCAGCGTGACAAGCTGCATCTGGCGAGCCAGCGCAGCACACGGAACGCCGTTTACCTTCCCGCTGGTAAACGGTCCCTATTTATCTACTTGCACCCGGGGGTGCTAGGTTTGTGCAATTTAAGTGGATTAAAATACTCCGCTGCCATAACACAACATATTCCCTCATGGACTTTTTGCACTTTGGAAAGTGACAGGAAATGAACTGAAAAGTGTGAGAGGAATGAGTAATTAACAAGACATGTAAACACACAAGTAAATCAGGAGGAATAGTTTATCCTCCATTTATTTAAAGATATGAAAAGGTGGCTCTTAGCCATGTTTGTTTCCATCTTTAAGTAAAAACCAAAGTTTCCTTGGTAGCTAGAAAATATATTTAGTGTTAATCATGCAATACCCTCCTTCAGAATTGATATTTGCTTTCTGAAAGTGTGATCATCATTCTATTGAACAACCTACTGATCACAAGGCAACTTCTCTAAAGTAAGAGAATTGAGTTCTGCCACCAAAATAGCCAAGTTGAAACCAATTCAGTCAGAACTACTGGGAAAGTGGATACAGCTGAGGGAACTTTCATTCAAACACAGCTGATCAAACTCCCACATTAGCATCAACAGAGGAGTTTAAAATGAGAGCCATGTTCAAAAAGGAGAAAATTATTTCATTGACTGGAGACAAGTCATAACTCAAGTGTTTCACTGAAGGAGGTGAGTGGTTTTATTTTTAAAAACATGCTAGTGGTTTAATTATAAGGTAAGATTAATAATCAATATTAGGTTTAAAGAGCTAGCTATGTATGCTGCTGAGGGCTACTGGAATTCCATCCCTCCCTTGACTTGCATAAGCCTTTTAGAAAAATGTGATGTATAAAGCCAAAAATGCTCATATTGGCCTGCCAACAGCAGATTAATCAGTAGTATGAGTTTTAGAAATCTAGTAGATCCCCAACCTTGCGGCCCTCCAGATGTTTTGGCTTACAACTCCCATGATCCCTAGCTAGCAAGACCAGTGGCCAGGGATGATGGGAATTGTAGTCCAAAACATCTGGAGGGCCAAAGGTTGGGGATTCCTGCAGTAGATGAAGCTTTTCATTGTATGGTGAGCCATTAGGGTCTCTAATGTCTTGAGAACAAGCCACATGATAATATTCCTAATAGGGAGGCATGGCTCCTGCATTGGTTTAACACCATGTAGCTGTGTGTTATCAGGGGCAAAACTCTTCGATTTCCCTAGCTTTCTATCACTTACCATGGAGTAGTGGGATTGTTTTGAAACAGGGATAGCCCAACTGGTCCCTTTGGATGTTTTCGGCCTGCAGCCCACTTCATCCTTCAGCCTGGGTCATAGTTGCTGTGGCTGATGGGAATTGGAGTCCAGCAACTGCTGTGGGGCTTTCCTTTGGCTGACCTGATTCTAACATGACTGAACTAGCAGAAAATTGGTCTGTTTATCTTAAGGCCACATTCTAGGTCCTTATTACAGCAAATTCTTAGGCGCTTGGTTCTCTGATTACTCTTTCTTCCATATTGTTAGCAATATGACAAAACTATTTGCATTGTGTAATGAAGGTGGGCTCTCCTCTCTTACTTGTGGGATCCAGGATGTCTGGGCGTGGCAAGAAGCCTGCAAAGCCTGCAACCAAGGAACAAAAAAACAAGAGTGCAAGAGCTGGCTTGCAGTTCCCAGTGGGTCGCATTGGACGTCTTTTGAGACGGGGTCGGTATGCAGAAAGAGTGGGTGTTGGCGCCTCGGTGTACATGGCTGCCGTGTTGGAATATCTGACTGCAGAGCTACTGGAGCTGGCGGGAAATGCTGCTCATGAGAACAAGAGGCAACGAATTGGGCCACGCCACATCCAGTTGGCGATCAGAAGCGATGATGAGTTGAACAAGCTGTTTGCACATGTGACCATTGCGGAAGGTGGAGTTCTCCCCCACATCAATGCTCTGCTTCTTCCAAAGAAAACAGCACCGTCCACTGTTCCCCAGGAGGAATGAAGGGGACCTGACCTCATCTGACATTTCTGTCTCTTACTGTCTGAAAAAGCTCCTTGTCCTTTTCATGTAGCACTTTCACTAGGAAGAACTCTATATTTGTGTGTTTTAATAATATTTTTTGTAATAATAAATTGTGCAATATAAAGCTTGGGCATGGTTTCTTTGTGAGCAAAGAACGGATTCAAAACTTTTTTAAAAATAAAAACTGGGATGGGAGCTTGTTGTGTAACTAGAGGCCTTTTGCAGGCCCGATGGTATGGTATGTGGAATGAAGCTGTACTCTTCACCGATTATTCAAGGCCTGCTAGTGGAATTAGATGCCATAATCGGGCTACATGATGTTGGGAATAAACTCAGGTTATGGTCTATTGTCATCTTAATGAACTTTCCTGGGAGGACATTAGCTACAAGCTTGCGACAACTGCCTCTGAACAGCAAGTAATTTGTTTCCACATACCTAAGGTGTGTAAATGCTGTGCGATGATGAGCATTCAGTGCTTGTTGCTGGCACCATTTTGGTCACCCCCATGTTCACCCTTTCACACACTGTTAATTTAACACGCATTCTGACAAGAGTGCACTGCGAGAACAGGATGCTGGTTAGATGAACCTTAGATCTGACCCAGCAGGGCACACCGAAATATCCTGCACCTTTGTGCCCCTGTACTGAAAGCGGTACCTATTTATCTACTTGCACTTTGACGTGCTTTCGAACTGCTAGGTTGGCAGGAGCAGGGACCGAGCAACGGGAGCTCCCATCACGGGGATTCGAACTGCCTACCTTCTGATTGGCAAGTCCTAGGCTCTGTGGTTTAACCCACAGCACCACCCGTGTCCCTACAGAGAAATATTTGAGGTGAATTTGGGAGAGTCAAAATGGCTTCAGGATTGCTCTCCTGTACTGTTTCAGACACTATACAGTGGTACCTTGGGTTACATACGCTTCACGTTACAGACTCCGCTAACCCAGAAATAGTGCTTCAGGTTAAGAACTTTGCTTCAGGATAAGAACAGAAATCAGGCTCCAGCGGCATGGCAGCAGCAGAAGGCCCCAGGAGCTAAAGTGGTGCTTCAGGTTAAGAACAGTTTCAGGTTAAGAACGGACCTCCGGAACGAATTAAGTACTTAACCCGAGGTACCACTGTACTTATGCATGTGTGTTTGCCTTGTACATTTATGAACATTTATTCGCTATATATGTATACATATAAGACCTTAGAATTCCTGTAACAACCCTATTCAAATGCCCATGGTGATTCTATTATAACAGATCTCCTTTTTTAAAACCGCACACACACATTATTATTATTATTATTATTATTATTATTATTATTATTATTATGATTACATGCGCAACCAGCAAATGTGTTGACAAAAACAACAACACGTGCTGAGTTTCCAGAGCCCAGGGAAACGTGGGCGGTCCCTTGCTACTCATTTCCTTCCCGTCACCCACCCTTCTCGGCACCCCGCCTCCTCCGAGAGCCTTTCGCTGCTCCCTCCTCCGACCAGCAGGAGAAAGTGCCCGGATCAGTCCTAATACGGGCAACTCGGGAAGGGAGCAGGCGCGTCAGCTGGGCGTGTAACGCGAGCTTGTGCGCTCTTGGAGACGGCCGGCTCAGCGACCCCCGGGATCCACGTGGAGCACCTAAGAAGGACCTGCCTCCATCAGCAACAGCAGTAAAGTTGGGACACCCCGCTCCCCAAACATGCAGGTGAGCTACTCTGAGCTGGATCCTCCCTTCGGGAGGCGAAGGGAACGCACGCAGGCGCACACCTGCCGGGAGACCCCTTTGCGTAATGGGATCGCTTTATCTGGAGAAGGGGAAACGGGGCTGGGGACGCGAGTGGGACATAGCACGGTCTGGGCAGGTCCACGAAGGATCCCTGCCCACGGTAGCTGAAACCCGGAAGATCAGCTCGCTTTCTGCTTCCCGTGTCTTGGGTTGCAAAGATGACACGCGGTGGTTCTTCCTGTCGGGGAAGGAAAGGCCTCCGCGTTTACCTTCCACCCGTCGGCTTTCTTCTTTTCGCGAGCATGCGCTCCAGGCTGCGTTGCATTTGCTGGTTGCAGGAGAAGAAACGGAGGCGATCAAGGGGGGGCGGGTGTTCTTTCAAACACAGGAGGTGGGGAAGCTGGAATTGTTTCTGAGTTCTTGAAAAAGTCATTCTCCGCAAATGACTTCCTGCACTTAGCACTGAAGAAATGAACTGTCATTTTGTATGGGAGAGGGGAGAGTAAAGTTGGCAGGCTGCTACTGTGACTGCTGATTGAGGCTGAGTGATGTGTAGCAGCCTTGCTTTCCAATGGTAGGATAACTGTGACATCACTTACGCGTTCTTTGTGAATGGTCACCGTTAATACAATGGTCACAGTTAGTACATTTCATTTCCTTCTGTCCTCACTGTTTACAACACACACCAATCCATGTCTATTTATACAAGCAACTCAGGATATTTCTTCATGTGCCTGATGATGTCGATTTTAGTCCACAAACTGCTTATGCCATAATAGGTTTTTTTTTAAATGGCATCTTGCTCTATGTTCTTTTCTGTTTTTGTTTCAACAGACTAATCCCGCTACCCTCTGGACACTAGTTTAATGTAGTCCTGTGTACATGTATGAAATCCCAAACTTAACTTGCTTTTTCCAGTATGTATTTGCTTTATCTAAGCAGCTCGGGCCTGTTTTTCTACTGGAAAGTGGAATTGAGATGAATCATAAATTTTTACTCGGAAAAAAGTCCACTGATTTCAGTGATACTTCTTCCCACATAAATACGCATTGGATTGAAGCCTGCATACTTATGTAGAATACGTTTTGTATAGTGTTTGTTGGAATCCTAAAAGAAAAAAAGCCACAGTGACCAGCATGGCTCCAGATGTTGTGGACTATAACTCCCTAACCATTGGCCATGCTGGCTAGGACTGGTGAGAGTTGCAGTCCAGAACAACTGCAGGGTTAAGTTTGTTAAGTGCCAAACTTGTGTTTCGATAGTCAAGGTGCTGGGGGTATGAATGACAGTTGTAAGCAGTGCTTTTGGGGGGAGGTAAAGAATGAGGGGCTGGCACTCATATCTTGATAAAACAATTGTGGATACCAACACAAAATGGCTGCCACGGGCAGCAAAAAAAGGATGTGACAATTCTCCAAACTGGTTGGTAGGTAGGCCTGGCCAATATCTGGTTTTCAACATTGCGATAGATTACCAGCTAAACATTGTGATATACTGATTGTTAAGTTGTGGGTGAACATATCAGACAACACAGCGATTCTTCAAACAGCTCTTGTTTATTCACAGGCCAGAACAGAACTGAACTAAAGGGTTCAGCCAGCCTGCTTATATAGAGCTCCACTAGAACACAACAGTAACCACTTTCTGTAACTATCCAATCACTGAACGTCACTTTCAATCCCTTATTTGCATATGTGGACCTGAGTGAAAACTATCTACAGTATCCCCCTGCTGGCCCAGGGTGAGAACTTCAGTACATAACACTGATATATCACAATATCTGAAATAAGAATAATGTCTGAAATAAGGGTGGCTGGGTAGAGGCTGGCTTCACGTTGGCTTTCCCATATTGTGATTTTCTAATAGCTCGCGCATGCACACCTCCCCCCCATCCCCATTCAAATTACCGTATTTTTCGCCCTATAGGACGCACTTTTTCCCCTCCAAAAATGAAGGGGAAATGTGTGTGCGTCCTATGGGGCGAATGCAGGCTTTCGCTGAAGCCTGGAGAGCGAGAGGGGTAGGTGCGCACCGACCCCTCGCTCTCCAGGCTTCGCACACCTCTCCGCAAGCAGCGGGAGCCCAGCGCTGGGCTCCCGCTGCTTGCGGAGAGTTGCCTGCATGCCGAAGCCTGCGCGCGCTGAACTCAGTCCGTCCAGGCTTCATGGACCTCTCCGCAAGCAGCGGGAGCGCTCCCGCTGCTTGCGGAGAGTTGCCTGCATGCCGAAGCCTGCGCCGCTCAGCTCAGCGCGTCCAGGCTTCGCGGACCTCTCAGCAAGCAGCGGGAGGGCTTGCAGAGAGCTGCCTGTTTGGGGGCTGGGGTCGGGGGAAGCTCGAGCTTCCCCCGCCCCAGCCCCGCGCCTGGGGGGGGGAATAATTTTTTCCCCTTTATTTCCCCCCCAAAAAACTAGGTGCGCCTTATGGGACGGTGCGTCCTATAGGGCAAAAAATACAGTATATTGCCAGGTCTAAAACTATGAAACCAATATCACAATATGGACTTCCAACCAGTTTGGGGCAATATATTGATATATTGCTCATCCCTACTGGTGGGTACCATCACAAAAATACCACACTGGTTGTAAGTTTGGGCTCTGACAATTCTATGTGCTTTAGGATCCTAATGCGGACACAGAGTGGAATGACATCTTACGTAAAAAAGGCATTCTTCCTCCAAAAGAAAAGCTGAAGGAGCAAGAACAAGCTGAAGAGGAAAGGGAGCAGCAGATAATCCAGCAAAAATCTGTTGGTAAGCCCTTCAGTTGATTGAATGTGATGCTTCTGTAATCTATTTTGCCTTGTTACCAGAATGTATCAACGTATACAGAGCAGACCAAGGCCTTATTGTGCATTCATTGCATTTGGAGGTATGGATAGCCTTCGAGAAAGGAGTTTGGTACTTCAACGCCCCTTCAGTGACCTTGAAAAATATTGAGATTAGTCCTTACAGAGCACCATATTGAGCTATGAGGACACTCAAAGAGACATATAGAACTTCCAGGGCTTCTGGGAAATCATAAGGCTTGCATTGGGGGACTCCCAGGTGAAATCCTTACGACCCAGGTGGGCATTAGGGTTTTAATCCCACAGGGAAGGACAATTGATGAAACAGAGTCTGGATCCAGATTTCTTGTTCAGTGATAGACTATGAACCTAGCAGAGGTATAAAGTGAATTGTTCTTGCGCTTTTTGTTGCACTTTTGTATCATTGTAAATCAGTTTAAATTATTGTAAATTATAGCTTTTTTTATTTTTCAGCGCAGTCAGCAGTATATTTTTCTGCAGGACCCACCAATGCTCACTGTAGGATGCAACTTGTGCATACTGGGATAGAATCTTGAACAGATACTTTAAAATATAGATGGATAAATTTCTCTTGACAACTCTAATGGGGTGATCTAAAACCGTGGACCTGTGTTGCAACGCTTCCCCTCACATCAGGGGCACAGAACCTCAGGCCTAGGGGGCAAATGTAAACCTTCATATCTCTCTGCCCAGCCTTTCAGAATCTCCTTCAAGCCCTGCCTCCTCAGGCCATGCTCTCTCTTCCCAGGCCACAACCCTCATTGGATCTGATGCACCCCCTTCTCTAGTGCTTTTGTTATGAGTCCTTGAACTGCCTAGATGTATATATGGAGGGGGAATGTAGAAACTGCATGGCTGGGATGTATTCTACTGCTCACCTACTTTTGTTGATGATGATTTGATGATTTTATTATTTATACCCCGCCCATCTGGCTGGGTTTCCATATTCCTCTGATCCCACTCTTTTTGTCTCTGGCTCCTACACACCAGTGGCATGCAGCCCTCACAATGCTGTTCTGTAAGGAATGCAACCGCCTCATTCTCAGGAAGGTCTTCCCCCCAACCCGCTTTACATCATCTTATGCACCTGCAGGTCTTTTTGTGGGAATTAGCGTGATGGCTCCGAAGTGCCTTGGTAAAGAAAATGCTTCTCTTTGGAGAGATTTCTATGACCTCGTGGGGTGCTCCTTTGATCATTAGAAAATATTTTATTGGACAAGAGTGCATCCCTTGGTTTGGACTAATTGTCTTCCATATTTCACATCATTTAGAAAGTGAACTGATGATAGCTGCTTAAAATAAGAGCTTACTCAGCAGGAGCTGCAGCCTTGTAGCAAATGATAACTCCCTGAATGTACCGTATTTTTCGCACCATAGGGCGCACCGGACCATAGGGCGCACCCAGTTTTTAGGGGGGGAAATCAAGAAAAAAATCTCCCCCCCCCAGCCCCAAAGAGCAGCGTACAGGGTGCGCACAACTTCTCCCTGCCGGAGGGGTTGCGCGCAGCTATGGAGCAAGCCAAGTTTTGGCTTCCCCTTTAGCCCCATGCAGCCTCTCCTTGCCGGGAGACGCTGCGCAGGGCTAAAGAAGCCATAGCCCCGTGCAGCCTCTCCTTGCGGAGGGGTTGCACGCAGCTATGGAAGAAGGCAAGGCAGTGAGTGGGATGGATCCCGCTCGCTGTTTTGCCTTCCCCTTTAGCCCCGTGCAGCCTCTCCTTGCGGAGGGGTTGCGCGCAGCTATGGAAGAAGGCAAGGCAGTGAGCGGGATGGATCCCGCTCGCTGTTTTGCCTTCCCCTTTAGCCCCGTGCAGCCTCTCCTTGCGGAGGGGTTGCGCGCAGCTATGGAAAAAGGCAAGGCAGCGAGCAGGATGGATCCCGCTCGCTGTTTTGCCTTCCCCTTTAGCCCCATGCAGCCTCTCCTTGCCGGGAGACGCTGCGCAGGGCTTTCCTGGCTTTTCTGGGAGGTGGGGGGATTCCCCCACCTCCCGCAAAACCGGCAGAAGCCGCGCGCACTTTAAAAGGGCTGCACAGCTTCTCCTGGCTTTCCTGGGAGGTGGGAGAAGGGACTGATGCGGCCAGTCAGTCCCTTCTCCCTCCTGTGGAAAAGCCCGCAAGAGCGCACAGAGCTCTTGGGGGCTTTTCCCGCCTGCCTCCCCCCTGCATTCGCTCCATAGGACGCACACACATTTTCCCTTGCTTTTTAGGAGGGAAAAAGTGCGTCCTATGGTGCGAAAAATACGGTAAGTTATGGAAGCAGAGTTGCTGAGATAGTGTGGTGCCTGGAATCCTGGATTTTGTGAGGACCTGGGTTTAAGATGGAATTCACTTCTCTTTTGTAACATCTATCAGATTTGTATCTTGGTTTTATTGATCAGAATGTTTATTTCGGCAAACATGAGGTAGATACTCTTTGCTGTATAATACTTTAATTGTATAATACTTGGTAATTGGTAATTACCAATATCTCTCGTTTGGAAATTAATTATTTGCATGATGAAAGAGATTCTGTTGTTGTTATTTATTAAATTTATATTGCCCAGGGCAGCAAACACAGTGATAAAGTAATTAAACAACTAAAACATATAAAAACATTTCTAAGACTGTTATCAACCTTGTGTACCCATTCAGAGCTCCAGTAATGGTTGGCTTTTATTCTGTGCCATACTGATGACCTTGCATTTCTTACAAACAGTGAAAACATATGAAGACATGACCCTGGAAGAGCTTGAAGAAAATGAAGATGAATTCAGTGAGGAAGATGAACGTGCTATGGAAATGTACAGGTTAGAGCACTCTGTCCAAGACCCACAAACGTGCTTGCCAGTTAAGCACTGGTGTGTACATTTTTTGTTCCAGTGAGAGCAGGTAGTTAGGGAGAACCCCAAGCCTGGAGCAGTAGGAGGACTCTCCCTGATGCCATGTTGACTTGAGAAGAAGAGGAGAAAGGCAAGGGCTCTCCTTGACACTGCATTGAACTTCTAAGACACTTGAAAAGCCATGTGACATTTTGCTGTTTTCTTAGGATCCATGGCTTAGCAGAATGGGAGGGAGCCTCCATCTCTCTCCCTGCAATGGCTCACCCTCCTCCCCAGTTGGAGAAGATGGGCAAAAACAGGTTGAACTGGCCAGGAAGGCCAGCTAGGATTTATTGACCCCTGCAATAGATAAGAGAATTAATGAAATCTTCAAGACCCACCCTCTGATTTTCCTCCAGTTTTAGCCAAATCAGGCTGCCTCTTGGTAGCTCTCTAAAAAACAGTAGCTGAAAGGGCTATCACAAAAAATAAAGAGGACGCAAATTCTTCCTGGAGGATCAAAGGTTAAAAATTTAGACAGCATATTCGCAGTGGCAGTAGGATTTGTTTAATAACTTCTCATCTCTCTGCATTTAGGGTTATCTTAGAACTCAGGTTATTAGTGTTTACTGTGTTAAATGCAGCTTCTAAAATGAATTCTTTAAAACATCTGACCTTGCAAATTACAGTTCAGTTCTAAAGATCGTTACGTACACCTCTAGCAATCAACATCTGCAAAACGAATATTGTGCTTAGAAATGATAAGTGCCCAGTTTTTAGCAACCGCTCAGTACTGCAGGTTTGTCAATACTGTTGTGGTTTATCTTCTCTCACCTGCTTTTTCAATCTGTGAATCAATAGAACAGTGTGATATTGACATTCACCTATGATCCCACTAATTCCACTAATCCTTCCTGTATTCATCAGGAGCTTGGAAACTGGATTTCATAATTTGCAACTGAGATGTGGTCCTTTATAGGGGGGGGGAAAGGATTGGCACTGCAGTCCTATGCTTCATTGGATGCAAGTATCATTCAGTGGGGTTTGCTTTACAAGTCAGTGTTATTAAGACAGCAGCCAGGCAGGTGAATTCCTAAATCATTTGGCTGCACCAGCATAGATTCGAGCCTGGGCAAAGGTTGCAATGCTATGTATACTTAACTTTGGAGTCTGTTCCATTGAACAAGAGGTATTAACACTGCTCAAGGACACATGTCAACCAGAATATAAAAGAACACAACAAAACCTCAAACATTAAAATCAGGGCTGTCTTTAGAAGTTTATGGAAGGCCATATAATTGTTTAACTCTTTGACATCTGATGGGAGGGCTTTCCACAGGGCAGGTGCCACTACTGAGAAGGCCCTCTGCTCATTCCCTGTAACCTCACTTCTCTCAATGAGGGAACAGCCAGAAGGCCCTTGGAGCGTGATATCAGTGTCTGGGCTGAATGATGGGGATGGAGATGCTCCTTCAGGTATATAGGGCCAAAGCCATTTAGGGCTTTAAATGTCAGCACCGACACTTTGAATTGTGCTTGGAAACATACTGGGAGCCAGTGTAGGTCTTTTAGGACTGGGTAGAGTATTGAGGGCCAGATACAGGTGCCTGGAGGGCTACATGTAGCCCAAGAGTATGAAGTTCCCCGCTCCTAGAGTAGACAGTGCTGAGTTAATATGGTACAGCGCCACTTCCTGTGCTCTTACATTTACAGCAATGGCTTTCCAAACAGCTGTGGTCTCTGGGTTGCTGGGGATCAGAATTGGTGACAGCGTGGATGTAGTTACAGTGTAATCCTAGGTTAGTGTGTGAAAGAGAGACAGCTGCATGGGAACTGGGAGATTTTTGTTGCATCTCCAGCACAAAACTGCCGGTTGGGTTTTCCACCCCAACCCTTTTGAAGGTTCCTTTTTCACCAATTGCAACTGTCCTTGTAACTTACATTTTGGCTCATTTCAAAACCAGTCATCAAGCCCTTTTTTGTCTCAACGTCTCGCCTCCTTCCATTTTGATGGAGTGGGGGTGGGGGTGGGAACCTCACACAGCATAGTGGTTGTGGTGAGACATGAGTTGTGAAACTAGGAGCTGATCCTGGTTCTGTCTTCCCTAATGCAGGAGCTGTGCAGGAAGCCTTCAGCATTCCTTTATCTTGTGTGGGATAGGGGAGGATAAAAGTAAACCATGGTTTACTGAGATAACAAATGTGAAGTGCCTTAAATACTCAGTGTTATATCTCTGGTCTCAAATCCATCTGTATGTTTCATTTTCTAATTCTTTTCCCATGGTGCAGGCAGCAAAGGCTAGCTGAATTGAAAGCCTTGCAAGCAAAGAATAAATTTGGACACGTTTTTGAGATCTCCGGACAGGATTACATCCAAGAAGTTACCAAAGCTGGCAAGGATATATGGGTGATACTACACCTGTACAAGCAAGGGTAAGCAAGCATTTCAAGATGACTGCTGTAGCAGGTTTGGTCTTGTGAAACTGTCCCCAAACTGGTGATCTTGCATTTTGTGTTTGAGCCAACTAAACATGCTTCGGCAGATGAGCCTTCCTTGCGCTTTCAGAACCCTGACGTTGGTATCTGTTGTGCAAATGAAAGGAATTTTTGAAACACAAAGTTCAGTGACATCATCAGGAATTGATTTGCTTCATTGTTCTAGCCATTTAACCAGGAAGGAGGGTAGTTGTGTACAGGCAACGACCATTTTGCAAGTGTTCAAAGCACATGCCCATTGCTGCAAACCAAGAAGTGGCAGGAAAAGGGAGCAATGCAGGGCAGGGCCGTAACAGACATATATTTTCCGCTATCACGTGTGATGACCCGGAACGCAACCACCAAGAAAATTGGGGGTGCCTGTATTGGATTGGGAAAACATTTTAAAGGTTGTGGGAAATCTCTCTTCTTTTCAATGAAGAAGAAGAAGAAGAGTTTGGATTTGATATCCCGCCTTTCACTCCCCTTCAGAGTCTCAAAGCGGCTAACAATCTCCTTTCCCTTCCTCCCCCACAACAAACACTCTGTGAGGTGAGTGGGGCTGAGAGACTTCAAAGAAGTGTGACTGGCCCAAGGTCACCCAGCAGCTGCATGTGGAGGAGCAGAGACGCGAACCTGGTTCCCCAGATTACGTGACTACCGCTCTTAACCACTACACCACACTGGTAGGCATAGATCTGAGAACCAGTGTGGTGTAGTGGCTGGAGAACCAAGGAGACCTGAATTGAAATCCCCACTCAGCCAAGAAGATCACTAGGTGACCTTGGGCCAGTAGCTCTCTCTCTTAACATAACCTACCACTCTGGGTTGTGGTGGTGATAAACTCGGAGAGTGAAAAGCATGTGTACAAACTTGACTTCCTTGGAGAAACAATGACATAAAAATACAATAATAATGTATGTGTCACAGCAGCCTCCGTTTTAAAAGATGCATTCGCCCCTTTGTGTGAGAGAACACATTTGCAAGGTTAAATATGTTCCTATCAGGTTACCTATTCTAGAAATGGGCATTTTGTTTTGTTTTTTGCAGAGCATATCTTTTGCAGAGACACGTGGAAAACATGGCATTTTATTATTTTATTATCTTGTAATTTCATTCTCCCTATTCTTATGGCTGTTTTTATTAATAAGAAAACAAAGAAAAGAAAAAGAACATGGCTCTTTAATGGATTTCTTCCCCTTTTCCTTTTTTAAAAATAAAGTATTCCCCTTTGTGCCTTGATAAATCAACACTTAAATGGACTTGCAAGGAAGTTCCCAGATGTCAAGTTTGTCAAAGCCATTTCAACAACCTGCATACCCAACTATCCAGATAGAAACCTCCCCACAATCTTCGTCTACCTTGAAGGGGACATCAAGGCCCAATTTATTGGACCCCTGGTGTTTGGCGGCATGAACCTGACAAGTGATGGTAAGTAGCTGCCACTTAGACCTTGACAAAAGGGCCCAAATGGACACAACCCATGTCACTGTCTCCTTGTGCTCTGTTTGCATTGATTGGCGGCTGATCCCTTTTACGTGTTTAAAACATTAATAGGTTGCTTTTTGGTACTAAACTGATACTCAAAGCACTTTGCAAAGTACGTAGAAACTCTTAAGAATGCAAAGGCAGCAAAGACGACTCATAAGATAAAGAGTCATCCTATGTACCCAGCTATAATTGTAACCTGCCCAGGGGCCTTAATGGTACAAGTGGGTAAGAAATCCTATAAAGAAATACAATAAAAACATACCTGATTGAAACACCGCTGAACATTGTCCACTTAATTTGGTTCTATCTCCACCTCACAACCAAGCTCTGCAAGCCACAGTCTCTGTGGATTTTTGTCCCTGACTCTGTGGAACAAGTCAACTTGCGTAACAGAATCACATTAATTTCCTCCCCACCCCCCTTCCTTTTTGTTCTTTCTGCCTAACATAATTGAGGCTGGCTGGTTAGATTGCCATCACAGTTAACAGTGAGACATCTGATTAACTTGAAGTATTGACTTTCTTCCAACTTCTGGGGTGGAAGCCAATTTGAGCCCATGTAATAAAGACCTGCTGCTAGGTGGGAAGTGTTTCTGGGTTGGGGCAGTAAAGAAAGAGGCAGGAAGTAATGGGGAGCAGTGGGTACGCATTCTTGCTTTTTGTTTCTCAAATCTCCCTTTAAAACAGCAGATGAAGCATTAACAGCTGCTTCTGCCTCTCCTGACAACAGTTATAAAGATGACCTTGCTTTTGTCTGTCTGAGAACATGCTGGAGTTTTGAGGCAATTAACCGTATTTCCATTTTCTTCAAAGAGCTCGTGTGGAACTTAGCATTGTAGTAAAAGCAAATTTGAAAACAGCAGATGGGAAGCGCACGTCCCGAAGAGCAGGAACGCAGAGATGCTTTTCTTTGTTCCAGCTTGTGTCATTCTTCTCTCTTGCGTTTTAGAATTGGAGTGGAAGATTTCTGAGTCGGGCGCCATCAAGACAGACCTGGAGGAGAACCCCAGGAAGCAGATCCAGGACCAGCTGATGACATCCATCAGGTGCTCTGTCCCAGCAAGGAGGGAGGAAAGTGACCCAGAAGATGACTAAGGCCTCGTGTGAAGCTCAGTTCTATGCCTGATTACTCTGAAGTTAGTCTGACTGCATTCAGTGGGGCTTGACTTCCATGTAAAGAGTGCATGTGATTGCAGCCCCATAAATACCACTGATGGGTTTTTGCTTTTGCTTTTAGATTTTACTAAAGAAGTCATGGTTATGTGGAGGCTTGCAGAGCAGTAAATTGGAGGAAATTGGAAAGGCTTCCTGATGAATCAGGCGCTTGTTGTGGACATTCCCTACAGTGGACATAACTACCAACAGCACATTCACCCTCTGGGTGTTTTGCTTGTTCTCTTTCCTCTGTTGGGTGACAACTCTCTCCTCTGTACCAGAGTCATTTTAAGCACAGAGAGTGCTTGGTCATTTCTATGCTTTTGACAAAGGCCAACAACTCCATTATGGTTGGGAAAAGGCTATAATGCAATTCTTGATTCTCAAATAAAAATACACGATTAATTTTTAAAGGGTTGTGTGGAACATTGTGTATATTTTATTGGGCAGATCCAACTGCAGAAGGCTAATATTGCTGCCAAGGTCTCAGAATTAAAGTGAGAATACAGTATTTATATATTTACTTAAAATCTTGAAAACTCTGAATTTTTTTTGACTGTCTCATGGAGATGCGGTGTGTTTTATTCTGTTCTTGAAATGTAACAGAAGGATATTTTTAAACAGTTAAATTTGTCCCGCGCCCCATGTTCTCGATTTTTGTAAAAATAGTGCAATTGCATATATGTTTTCTCAGAGGCAAGTCCCCCCTCCATGCTACTCCTAAGTAAACGTGTACAGTATATACTATAGCTTTAGTGGCTGAGCATCTTTCTCCCGCCCCCTTGCCCCCCCCATGAAGAAGTGCTATTTAGTCTTGTATTGAAAGTAGGTAAATTATGACCATTATAAATATTTTTTGTTGCCCATAAAAGTTGTAAAAAAAAAAAAGATGCAGTAGAATGCAGTCAATCTTCAGGCTTCTGGATATTTTATTGAGTAAATATAATTGCCAATCCAAACATGCAGAAAGACCATTTGGACTGTGCCATTTTAGACTGGAAGTGAGGAATCAGCATAGAATCATACAGTTTTAGAGATTACAGAGAACTCTGGAGATCATCTGGTCCAACTTGATTCATATTGCAAAATTGCTTCACATATAAAACAGGAAACTGCTCATAGAAAGATAAAACACCCTCTTTCCTGACATGCTTAGCTTTCCATGTGCAGGAAAACTTTTCTCATGTGACGGAGGATTCACCTATAGCCTGATGTACTATAATACTATAGTATACTATACTACTACTCTACTCTAATAAAGAGCTCTGCCAAAAGTTATGTCAAATTATTTGAGCCTTCCTCAACTCTTTAAGAGTGACTTTTCATGTAACATTTTGAAACTGTATATATACACACTGCCATAGGTACATATTGAAATACGCTAGCTAGTTTTTATCTGCAAATATGTATAGAAGGATTGAGCCCTCATGTCATAGAACCATTTGGTTGGAGGAAGTCTTGTAGACCATCTTGCACAACTCGCTGCAGGAAACTTTGAGCAACCTTATCAGATGGTTCTTCTGCCTATGCTTGAAGAGGCCCAGGAAGGGCAAACTCGCCCCCCGCCCCAGGTAATTGGTTCCATTGTTCTCCCTATCAAGAAATTCTTATGCTCAACCAGATTTTTTCTTCCTGTAATTTAAGCCCATTGGATCCTGACACCTGACTGTTGGAGGGGTGTTGGGGGCGCATTACAGTGACCATTTAAATTCATATGCAATTTTCAACAAGTGGCATTTTAAAAAAAACCCACTTTGGTACCATTTCTACTGTATTCCATGCGATTGTGTATAATCTTAAATTTGGGCCTTTGCATAATTATTTTGCATGTGCAAGTATTTAACAGACTGGAGAAGGCATTTTTTAAATCGATTTTCTGTCATTTCCTGTCTCAGATGAGCTTAATATTTCTTAACAGTACTGTATTAAACACTGCCCAATAACAATGTTCTTCGGGTGGCTTATAATAAAAACATAAAAATATCATCATCAGCCATAAGGATAACATGACTGTGGAGAACAAAGATGAAATATTTGGTTTAAGAAGCTTAGGAAAGGTTGCATTCTGAAAGGAGCCTATGTGAGAAGCCATAGAAATGGGCAGTTAGAGAAGACTGCAGTATCTCTCTTCTCCCTGCTTCTTCACTCCTACACCTGTGCAAGAACAATTTCCTGTCTTGTGCGCCATTTCTCTCAAGCTAATCAAAGGCTTTTAGTAAAAATGAGATATCTGCAGGACATGGCTAATGAGAGATCATTTTAACGTCACGGCACAGTGGAAGCTTTAGAAGCGCACAGAGGAAAAACTTGCTTGTTGGGTTTGTGTGTGTGTTTTAATGAGTCCTTGCAAATCAATATGGTTTACATTTGTTGCCAGGGGAAATGTCTTATAGCAAAAGTGGGTAACCTTTTGCATTCCCTTCTGGGAAACCTCCTAGGGGCCACATGGTAGTGGCAGACTGGGCTAGAACTGAGCAGAGCAACTAATGTAAATTTTAGCTTTGTGCTGTAGCGTAGTTTCTGTACATACAACAGTCCAGACAAGCAGGAGGTATCATCAGAGTTTGAGGACACATTCCAGCCAGGCAAAAAGACTCAAGAAGATGGCTGCAAAAGACAGCCTGTAATAGCTGTGTCCTGGGGAGGGTCTGGAGGGCCAGTAGAGAAGGCTAGAGGGCCACATTTTGCCCCCAGGCTTGAGGCTCCCCATCACTGTCCTGTAATGTGAATCTACCACAAGCTTACCTTTACAGTGATGCAGTGCAATACGGGTGCCGGTGAGAGCCGTATTTTATGGGACATTCTGAGGAAAATACTTCTCCACACAATGCCTAGTTAATTTTTGTAATTCACTGTCACAAAATTGCAGTAATGGCAGGGATTAAGGCAAATCCATGAAGAAGAGTCCCCTCAATGGCTTGGTTATGATTAGCAAAATGTTCAGAGCCTCAGTATAGCTCCTGAATACCAGATTGGGGGCACAGCAGGGTTACTCCTTTCATGTCCTTATTTTGATGTTCTGGAAGCCGCTGACTAGCCTTTGCATGAAGCAGGGTGCTGACTAGATGGACCTTTATGTCTGAAGTAGCAGGGCTGTTTTTAATGCCGGGTGCCTGAGATAATTGGGTCACGAAACCCACATTAAGGATTTTTGAGAGTCCTGATATTAATGAAGACAGGTGAATAATAGGCTTATACCATCTTCCACTGAAAAGGATGGAACCAGTGGTATTTTTCTGGAAAAAGAGGTGCTGGAGCTCACCATGAACTTCTCCCTTGTTCTCTTAGAATGGCAATGACACCTACCTGAGAGGTGTCGGAGCTGAGCTAAAAAAAAAAAGCCGTGGATGGAACTTAACTGATTTGCTGTCATTAATGACCTCTTCAAAGTTACATTGCCAGCGTCAATGGGTTCAAAATGAAAAGGGGGGATTTTGATTGAACACCTTTGTCAGGCTGAGCAGTTTAACAGTGGAACAGTCTGCCTCAGAAGTTGGTGAACTCTCCTTCATTGGGGGCGTTTAACCAGAGGTTGGTTAGCTATCTGTCAGGGCTGCCAATGTAGTTTATTTCCTGCAGTGGGTTGAACTGTTCTGACCAATTCCCAGTTAGATATCTGTTGGGGCTGCCAATGTACTTTATTTACTGCAGTGGGTTGAACTGTGTGACCTTTACGGTCATGACCAGCTCCCATGGCCCCATCTGCAACTAAAGCAGCATTATACCACTTTAAACAGTCATGGCTCCCTGCAAAGAATTGTGGGAACTGTAGTTTGTTAAGGGTGCTGAGAGTTGTTAGGAGACCTCCATTTCCCTCACAGAGCTACAATTCCCAGAGTTCCCTGGGAACTAAAACCACTCCTGGCAACTCTCAGCACCCTTAACAAACTGCAGATTCCAGGATACTTTGTGGGATGCATCCTGATACTGCATTAAATGTACAGTACAGATTGGGGAGGGGGGCAGGGCTATGATTCTACTTAAAAGGCTCACTGTTTATGAACATCATGTAACAAGGGGGTGAAGACATCATCCCTCCGCCAAAAATCAAGATGAAAAACAAATCAGTAAATACTTCAGGACAAATGGTGAGTTAACTGTAATTGACGACACCGATAATCTCTTTTTTATATTCATTTAAAAACTCCTTGGAGATCTAAGAAACTAGGGTTCCAGGTGGAGAAATCGAAACTAGAAACAGAACTGTTAGAACCAAAGACTAAGGTACTTTCTAGAATGTATAACTTGCTGTTAAAATGGAATACACAAGATGAAATGGTTAAATCGGCTATGATAAGGTGGGCGCAAGATATTGGGCACAATATTATGTTTGAAGACTGGGAAAGGCTGTGGAATAAAGGGATGAACTTTACTGCATGTAATGCTTTGAAAGAAAATGTAATGAAAATGATATATAGATGGTATATGACCCCAGTCAAACTTGCAAAAATATACCACCTGTCTGACAATAAGTGCTGGAAATGTAAAGAGAGTGAAGGAACATTCTTTCACCTCTGGTGGACATGCCCTAAAGTGAAGGCTTTCTGGGAAATGATTTATAATGAACTGAAAAAAGTATTTAAGTATACCTTCACTAAGAAACCAGAGGCCTTCCTTCTGGGTATTGTCGGCCAAGGGGTGGTAAAGAAGGACCAAACATTTTTTATGTATGCAACAACGGCAGCAAGGATACTTCTTGCGAAGCACTGGAAAACTCAAGATCTACCCACACTGGAAGAATGGCAGATGCAACTGATAGACTATATGCAATTGGCTGAGATGACCGGCAGAATCCGTGACCTGGGAGAAGAGAGGACGGAAGAGGACTGGAAGAAATTCAAGATTTATCTAGAAAAATATTGTAATTTGATTGAACGTTAAGCAGGATGCTAGATCATAAATAACTGAGCACCACTAAATTAGATGATATGGGATGACAAGTGAGATTGAGAGAATATAAATTTTATTAATTATTACATTATAAATAAATAGATGGGTTATAAGAATGCAAATAAGATGATGAATTGCTGGCAATAGCCTATAATGATGAAGGTGGGAGCGGGAGACGTGAGGAAGTCCAAGGAAGATATGAAAATATGTTATGACATATGCTATATTCTGTACTATTTTATTTGTATTTTAAACTATAATAAACATTTATTAAAAAAAAAAACTCCTTGGAGATCTAGGCAGGTTAAAACAATGAAGCCATTTTGAAATCCCTCACAGTATGTTTAGGTGCAAATACCACTGGACAAAGGAAAGCATCTTGCAATATGATATTGTGGCGGTAAAAAGCAGCATATGCTGTAAGCATATGCTACTTTTAACTGCTGATGAATAAAAAAAGAATGAATATATTCATGGAAGAGGATCCTGTCCGTTTCTATTTTCCTTCATTTGTTCAGGCAGGGCAATTTTGTAAAGGTGGAACCACAAATTACCTCAGCAAATGGCATGTTTCAAAACCTGAGTTCACAGGCTTCCCAAATGCAAAGCCGGAGGAGGAGGACATTTTAAAGTCTGAGGTGGAATAGAAAATGGCATTCCTTTCTTCAACTCAAGGCTTAATGCCTCAGGCTGTAAAATGTATTAGGCCAGCCCTGGGGCAAGTGTTTGGGGCCCACATAAGGGAAGGCTAAAGTGGTGTGTGTTTTTTTAATATAAATTTTATTAGTATTTTCCACACAACAACAACACGAAGGCTAAAGTTTTAATTCCAGTACCCAAAATGAATTGTGAGAGCTTTCTAGAATTTTAGTTTGTTACCATGTGTCTTCAATCTATGTGAACATAGCTACTTAATTAGAGTTGCTTTGTAGATACCATTTTTGTAAACTGCTTTGAGATTTTATCCAGTCAAGAGGTATATAAATTCTATGAAATAATGAATATATTTAAAACAAAACAAAACACCGCCACAACAATGCCTCTTGCAGTGTAAGTATGCCATCTTCTGGTTGGTTTGTTTTTAAAATATATGTAGTTCTTATACACCTGTGTTTTCCCTTAGAGATTTTTTTTATATCAAGATTTTTTTAATATTATACATTTTATAAATCAGTCAGTTGAAGAATGCTGGTTGTATTATTATTACTGTTATTATTTAAATCTGTATACTGCCCTTCATCCGAAGTTCACAGCATAAAAATACAAAAACACAAAATACATAATAAAAACAAGAACAAAACAAACCAATACCCTCCCACTTCTACAAACACATTTAAAAGGACATGTGCCTATATTTGTTATAAAAGCATAATTTAAATGCTAATTGTGTCAGGTTTATTATTTCAAAAAATCACAAGGATAAAAAGCAGTCATTGACAGAGCAGGGCCAAGACATTTTGCTGTCTGAAGCAGAGCTCAAATGGTTGCCCATCACCGACAGCTCCGTTCAGATTCTAGTTTCTGCCTTCATCTAGCCTCCCCTTATGGTGCTGCCTAAAAATTGTAGTTACACCTTGTTGTGTGGCTGGGGAAGGATATGGATTTTAAAACAGATAAACTGGATTCCTCTTTCTTTGTTAAGTTTTATTATTATTATAAAAAAAAATTAAATCTCAGCAGCCAGGTGCCCAAGAAATTAATCTTAACTTTTGGGGGTGTATCTGGAGCTCCCAAGTTGCTAACCATTTATTTATTTTAAAACATTTATATACCACATTATAACTTTTTATTAAAGAGCAGTATACAAAATAGAAAGATACAGCCCTCCCCAATAAACCAATATAAAACAATAAAACAGCAATATATAAATCATGTTATCTATTTCCTTATTAATGAGCAAGTGCGATGTTATTTGCTGGTCTTATTTAAATGCTGTTTACATTTTAACAACTTAATTTACCCTCAAAACCAGTTTCCATTTCATAATGGGAAAATGCCCAGGCAGCTTTTCCTTAAAATTGTGTGTATTTGTGAAAAGACACATTAAAATTTTCTCCTATCTTGCATGAGCATTGCTATGAACATTGCACGTATGTGGCTCAGTGTCTCATGCAGCACACAAACACAGCAGAGTTTAGTTATACCCAGAAGATGTCACTGTTGTCCACAGAGCCCACTGTTATTACTGGATGTTTACATCTGTGTAATATGAGTTACCGGTATCTTAAGCTGTGTGTCTGGTTTTCCAGCTGTTGCTTCTTCAGTGAAGAAGATGGTGGAGTGGGAACAATTTTGTCTCCTTCATGGTGCACAGTTGTTGTTGGGGCTTTAGAGAACACTGATAATTGTCATGACATTGACCCTTGCAGTGTCAGCAAACTAGATATGTTAGTGGATTTGCAAGGTAGACAGCTTGCGTCTCAGTATTTGAAAGGCAAATCAATGGGGGGAATGTTGCTGCAACATTTCAGACAGTTGCAGCAGCAAGGTACTTTTAAATGATCGGGGCTTCAGCATCATAGGCATAATATAGTAGCTAAGCAACAGCTAAGAGCCAAAAGGATCCCAGTTCAAGTGTTACCCTTTCCTAGGCCCTGAAGCTGTTACTAGCTTTGGTGGAGGGAGGAGATGCAGTCATAGAAGCTGTACTACCAGCACCCAGCTAATAGCAGCTTCAGGATTTACCGGTACATCTGGGAAGGGCAATGGAGGACAGGCTTAAGCACTTGTTCCAGAACACCCAGCTCAACCCCAGTGGACTCCTAATTAGCAAAACAAAAGCCATAGGCAATCCTAATCACAAAACTCACACATCACATCTAGTTTGTCTTAGAATATAGGTCAGAAAGCAGGATCTGAGAGGCACTGGAAATCAAAGGTCATGCTATATAACAGGATAATGTTTAGGGTCCATGTATCCCTCACACCTAAGCCCTTTAACTGTCAAAGGTTTTTTGGTCCCTGAGAACTTTCTGGGGGATTACAGATCATAAATAATTATGAGTTGATCTCAAATCTTTCAGTTTCAAGGGTTACTTGAGGGAAGTCATGATAGTGGAACTGGCTTGAATAGCATAGATGGTTTTCAGATATGACATTTTAAAAGTGCTCTTAAGCCGCCTTTCTTATGCAATTTGTGTCATTTTTCGAATCCTTGAAATGTTTCATTATTTTATTTATCATTTCATTTAATGAAATTTATATGCCACGTGATTGTAGAAAAACATCAAAGTGGCTTTCAAAAAAGATAAAACTATTTTATTATCACTTTAAAATGACAACTGTAATTTAAAAGATACAGAATGATGTTTAGTATAGATATGTTTGCCACCATGGGCCACTTTCGGAGGAAGGGTGGGACACCAAAATTTAATAAATAATAAACCATAATAATAATAATTTTTGCCCTGTGTGCTTTTGTTGATGTGGGGCAGGATCCAAATGATATATATTCTTATCAAGTGCATTTGCTGCATTTAAATTATAGATCCTAGGAATTAAATGGTCCATCTTTGGTGAAAAGGCACTCTGAGATACCAGGGGGATTGCTCATTTAGGTCTTGACAATGTGGACTTACTATATTGTGCTCCTTACAGTGTATTGCAGAGCTTCCCTTTGTATTTTCTTATTCAGCATTTACACTGATGGATAAACTTAAAATCAAAAACCTTTGGCAATGCTATTTTGATTCTACGGCAAATGTGGACTTAAGAGTGTGGAAATGTGGATACAGATTCTTATTTGGACAGTAACGAGGTTTACTAGATGACTTTGATAAGTAATTCTCTGTCAGCCTAACTTACTCTGCAAGGTTTGTAAAGTTGTTGTGAAGACAACAGGAGGGGCAGCCATTTATGTCATTTCGATTCCTTGGTGGAGGGACAGATTTATTTTTTTAAAGTATAAATAAATATGTTTCAACCATCTTCATAAGAATCGGACACGACTGAACAACTAAACAACATGTATGATACATGCATGGCCTGTATGCCTGCGAGGGCTGCTTCCAAGTCCTCTGAGAAGAATTAGAAACCATCTATAAAAGGCTGGTGGGAGCTTAAGAACCCCTGGAGTATAGCAGTTTAAGGAACATAGACTTGCAGGAATGTGGTGAAATGTAACCTACATGAGAGGTGGCCCTTGTCTCGTTCCCTGCTTAGATGCAAGGTGTACAGCACCATAACCTACTTGCATAAA